CAGGTATCTCAGAACTGGGTAGATGAGTAGTTAACACTAGCAGGTACCTCAGAACTGGGTAGATGAGTAGTTAACCCTAGCAGGTATCTCAGAACTGGGTAGATGAGTAGTTAACTCTAGCAGGTATCTCAGAACTGGGTAGATGAGTAGTTAACTCTAGCAGGTATCTCAGAACTGGGTAGATGAGTAGTTAACACAAGCAGGTATCTCAGAACTGGGTAGATGAGTAGTTAACCCTAGCAGGTATCTCAGAACTGGGTAGATGAGTAGTTAACACTAGCAGGTACCTCAGAACTGGGTAGATGAGTAGTGAAATCTAGCAGGTATCTCAGAACTGGGTAGATGAGTAGTTAACACTAGCAGGTATCTCAGAACTAGGTAGATGAGTAGTTAACACAAGCAGGTATCTCAGAACTGGGTGGATGAGTAGTTAACACAAGCAGGTATCTCAGAACTGGGTTGATGAGTAGTTAACACTAGCAGGTACCTCAGAACTGGGTAGATGAGTAGTTAACACTAGCAGGTATCTCAGAACTGGGTAGATGAGTAGTTAACTCTAGCAGGTATCTCAGAACTGGGTAGATGAGTAGTTAACACTAGCAGGTATCTCAGAACTGGGTAGATGAGTAGTTAACACTAGCAGGTACCTCAGAACTGGGTAGATGAGTAGTTAACACTAGCAGGTACCTCAGAACTGGGTAGATGAGTAGTTAACTCTAGCAGGTATCTCAGAACTGGGTAGATGAGTAGTTAACACTAGCAGGTACCTCAGAACTGGGTTGATGAGTAGTTAACCCTAGCAGGTATCTCAGAACTGGGTAGATGAGTTATTAACCCTAGCAGGTATCTCAGAACTGGGTAGATGAGTAGTTAACACTAGCAGGTATCTCAGAACTGGGTAGATGAGTAATTAACCCTAGCAGGTATCTCAGAACTGGGTAGATGAGTAGTTAACACTAGCAGGTGCCTCAGAACTAGGTAGATTAGTAGTTAACTCTAGCAGGTATCTCAGAACTGGGTAGATGAGTAGTTAACACTAGCAGGTACCTCAGAACTGGGTTGATGAGTAGTTAACACTAGCAGGTATCTCAGAACTGGGTAGATGAGTAATTAACTCTAGCAGGTATCTCAGAACTGGGTAGATGAGTAGTTAACACTAGCAGGTACCTCAGAACTGGGTAGATGAGTAGTTAACACTAGCAGGTATCTCAGAACTGGGTAGATGATTAGTTAACCCTAGCAGCTATCTCAGAACTGGGTAGATGAGTAGTTAACACTAGCAGGTATCTCAGAACTGGGTTGATGAGTAGTTAACTCTAGCAGGTATCTCAGAACTGGGTTGATGAGTAGTTAACACTAGCAGGTATCTCAGAACTGGGTTGATGAGTAGTTAACACTAGCAGGTACCTCAGAACTGGGTTGATGAGTAGTTAACACTAGCAGGTACCTCAGAACTGGGTAGATGAGTAGTTAACCCTAGCAGGTATCTGATCCAGTGGGGTGCCTCTTACGATTAGCAATAGTTTGCTGGGGACCTATTCTTACCGGGAATCCCAACAGGGTACCTTTCCAAGTGAAATCATTTAGCTCAGCAAGTTTCCATATCAGCATCATGGGTGTATAGCAGAACATTCTTTTGTAACAACAGCAATGTTTACAACAAGGTTGTGAGGAAGTGAGTTGGGTTTAATGCTGCTTTGAAGAATAGTCCACTTATACCACTGTGTGTCAGCTTAATGTGGGAGAAAAGCCCGAAGTGATGCAGGTCTTAGATGTCTACCACTTTGGTGAAACTCACAAGCACGGGTATGGTGTTGACAAACCTAGAAACATAATTGGGGCAAACCGGGATTCAAACCCACAATCACAAAGGAAGCAACTCTACACAGATTACTGCGGTGCCTGCGGCGCCTTAGACGACTGGGCCTCTCGTGCCCCCATAACATGACTGTCAGGACAGTGGACGGTTCAACTTTGTTTAACTGCATAGCTAGAGAATAACCTTTGAAATGAGGAAATATGGATTTACTGTCCCGAGGGAATAAAACCTCTAAGTTTCTGCCACAAGGTTATTCGTCATATTAACACAAAATTGTTTCCTGCAAAAATGTAGAAAATGTGAGCTTCTTGATAACAATTGGAAACATCAGCTCTGAAAATAAAAACCATAAGTGACGTCAAGAACAGTGGATGACATCATTAATTATTTAACACGTTGCTATGAACCGCTTTTCAAACAAAGAAGACGATGGAACAGTTTTTTCAAAGTGAGAATGACAGAAGAAAAAACAAATTGTATGTACCAATCGATATCCTGCTAATGCGGATTAACAGTCTACAGTCCCTCGAGTGAAAATGTGCAACACAAGATCACTGAAACATCTAGTACAAAATAAACTGTCAAAAGTTATGAAAACCATCAATCATTCTCTCAAAAACAAACTCCAGCATGCCACTTCTGTCATTGTTACGGAGGCTTTGCTGTCAGTTGCAAACAGAACACAAACACAAACTACAGGTAAAGGGAGGTAACAAGGATTTCCCACTTCCCTCGCTGGTCAAAGGGACATAACTCTTACAACTCAACTTCCAGATTCGGAGATTTTACTTCTTTACTTTTTTATTCTGTTTCTATTTTTATACACATTTTTCCAACAAGATGCCAACATTTACCTCTCCTGAGTGTCTTGTTAAACACAACTTACAGCTTCAAATTCGTTAAGAAATTATTATTTTTATTAGTAAACATGTTGTGCGTTCAAAAAATCAACAGATGGTATCAGAAGGTTACCTGCTGTCAGTTTAATTAGAGTGAGTGAGTGAGTTTGGTTTGATGACATTCTCACCAACATTCCAGCAATATCGCGGCTGGCGACACCATAAATGGGCTTCACACATTGCGCACATGTGGGGAATCAAACACAGATTTCTATAGAGAGTGAGTGAGTATGGATTAATGCCGCTTTTAGCAATAGTCCAGCAATATCACGGTGGGGGACCCATGTCGGGAATCGAACCTGGGTCTTCGGCATGACAAGTGAACGCTTTAACCACTAGGCTACCCGGCCGCCCCTTACATGGCAATAAAATGGTGGCAACTGACCATGTTGATTTTGACAAAGTAATAGATTTTTAGCATGTAGAAAATAGGATCTACATGTACAATCAGTGTCAATCACCGTCAAAAACTTCAGAACCGAATACATAGTTCAATACAGATACAGAAGATATTACATATTCGCCCAAGTGAAAATTCCTTGTCACTGGATAAGATATACATCATATTTCAATAGACACATGAAATATCCTATTTACTATATACTTCATTTGTTGTTGACAGTGGGTCTTTTAAAACAAATAACCCAAAAAAATTAAAATGCAAAATATAAATTCTCCCTACTGTAAACATTGACCTTTTCACACATGGATGCCTGCACACAAACAAGATATAGTGCTTATTGAACAAAACAAAAATAAATTCCATAACATACCTGAATTAAATTTTAGAATTCACCCATTTTCTGTTTGAGGTATTTAATCTTACAGGAACATTAAAATATCAAATTTTAAACAGAAAACCAGGAGGTCACTTAGCAATGTAAAATGTATGTAAAATATTTTCCCCGTCAATACGGAAATGTAAGTATTTCAAACTCCAGCAACTGTCGCATGTGACAGGCACATAATAAATCCTTTATTGTATTATAAGATCGTAATATAACTCTTTTTTTTGCCAATACAGGCTCCATAATTCAAGCAGTTTATCTGCATTCCACAAATGTTGAAGATCATGTATTTACTTCCCCATGGGGGGAGAGCATTTGTTGAATACATCTTGACAACCTTGTCACACAGTTGACAACCTTGACACCAACAACTGAGTATCATCACTGAAGGTAATGACGAACACTCTGGTGAAAACACTGCAGGCGGTGGTGCATCATATTGGTTTCGATGATCTCACCACATATCATATTGAGTCAGTAAGCCTCTCATACAAGAACAGAAATCTCACTGAACCAGTTTCCTTCACAGATGTCAAGGGCTAGATGTGACCAGACTGCATCAACAATGAGGTGAGGGGAATTGGGATTAATTGTCACGTTCAATACCACGTCATTCATTCACCAACATGCATGTGGGTGTGGATGCTTGTACTAGTCCGGGCTTATGCTGGTTTACAGTGCTATCCCACTGAGATGCCATGCCACAGTTTAACAATGCTTCCCCATTAGGACACAGCATACCGACTCTGAGCCAGTCTGTACTTATTTTATCCGCGAAATGCCAAGCGCACTGTAACACAAAGCATCTTCCGGGGGCAAGGGAGTTAGCTGACTATAAAAGTCAAGTTTCCACCCTTGCCAAAATAGGCTGGCATTATGGAGTTAACTTTTGGCTGGACTAACGAGTCTATGCATAGTCCAATCAAAATCATGTGACCAAGTCGTCCTTCGGTTCTGCCATACTGAATTCAGTCATTTGCAGGATTTGCAACTCGGCGTCAACAGATATTTTCCAAAATCATTTCATGTTTTTAATCAAGGTGCTCATGTGATTTGATGCACTTCACGAAGTAATACCCGTTTTATTACAATATACATTTTGATTCTCGATCAGGTCGTCTTGACTGGGTGCTGCAATTTTGTTTGAAGCAAATGTAAGTAATTCGAGAGGTGGAATCCGATTGGTCAAAAGGACGGACATAGAAGGGACAAAACTCGTAATAACCACTGGTGGTGCTACAATCCAGCCCAGAAATTACAGCCATGTTTGGCAAGGGTGGAAACTGGACTTTTACAGTCAGTTAACGCCCTTGCCTCGGGAAGATAAACACAAAGTTCCATCTTCTAACATCTTTTGGTATGATGCAACCAGGTGATCAGACCACCAACCTTCCACTCTCCAGCTCTATCCACTACACTGTGCAGTATGTCATATTTCCAAGCAGATCTACAATGGCTGCCTATGAAGTAGAAGTGTTACAGCATCCACCTTACCTCCATCACTGTCGCATGAAGGGCCTCACTGTACGACACTCTCTCGGCCAACACTGTCTGTGACATCTCACAGATGAGGGCGATCAGGTTGCCCATGCCGTCACCGGAGTGGGCTGAGGTTGGCACCATGGAGATGTATTCTGATGGATCTTTGTTGTTGAAGAATAACGTTGTGTTCAAACCCTGCAAGGATCAGACATGAGAATACAAAGGAAAAATAAAACAGCTTCCAAAAGTCATCCTTATAAGACAAGGCAACGTCTGGCTCATCTTTCTTTCCAAGAAGCAGTTCCTATTGATACTGATTAGAGGCCCCAGTTCCATGTTCAACAAAGGTTAAAGTTGTGTTAAATTCAACAAGAGTCATCACGAGATCTCCCTGGTCTGGTGCAACTCATGTTGTTCAGTATTTTTCAAAACACGAAATCATCAAAAGGCACCAGTTTACTACTAGACTGATCTGTGTAGCAGCACAGTATTTTTCAATCAACCAAAATCATCAAAAGGCTCCAGTTCACCATCAGACTGATCTGTATAGAAAATTTCATCTGGAAATATTCAACGGTTTTGGAGTTCTGCTCCGGAAATGGAAAACAACTTGTTTTCATCAAGAAAACAAACAAAAAGAAAAAAATCCCAAATCATCAAAAGGCAACCTGGGAACCTATTCTTACCCACAATCTCCATAGGACATACAACATAACTAATTGCAACAAAAAGTTCACACATCTAGATGGAAAATGAGACAAATGACATTTTTAAGATGGCTTTCTTATGAAAGCCATGTTAAAAAATCGGATCAGAATTCTGTGTGCAACACTTTGAGAAGGAAGGATCATTCTCCATGCTATAAACTCACTTGAACAACACTTGAACAAAACTTGAAAAAACATACAATAATGCTGCAATGACAGCATCCTGTCAAGGATTTATTTCCGATTCCAGACTAAGTGGCCATGGCAGGCAAATTGGGAAAAAATTGGGAAATGTTTTAGCTTTTCTACTTTACTTCATATTTTCTTAACTTGTTTTTGAATATTGACCCATGATCAGAACAAATAAACCCCTCCACATTTTACAGATTATACATACCTGTTCAGCCATTTGCACTATAACTTGGTTCATTCTCTCGTCAAACTCGCTGCGCGTGTGTGTTGTCTGTTTCTTCAGCACATTTTGGACATCACTGCCGGCGCCAGCCTTCCACTGGTACAGGCGGTCAATCTGGACAACAACGCCAACAAACAAACTCTGTTATATGGCAGTGTATTTTATTGTTGAACAATGATTGTAACTGTGTTACATTGTTTCTGTTGAGAATCACTAGACGCTCATTACATTGTATTTGGACAGTGATCAGTTGTCAAGAAGTTACTATATTTAGATGGTAGTGTGGTGTGTAAACTTCCGGTCCAGTATACCACCGATGGTGATAGTATATATATAGAAACGTGTAATGTTCCAGTGCTGCAAGCCTGGTGAGGGCACTATGTAGAAATTTCCTTGTTAGGCTATATACATAGTGGGACAAGAGTGTGTTTAGGTATCTCAACTTTCATGTGAGGATTGCTGATCATCCCTGATTCCCTGCTTAGCCCATCTCGGAAGCTTGACCATAGTCGCTGCTGGGTGAATATATATTATTATCACTGACTTTTGCTATCACCACTGCATTTATGTATTTGATACTGACTATTGCCATAATATTATATTGCCATTTAATATTGTACTACCATTTTATTGTTTATTGCCATTGTAATTGCTGTGCAGTAATTTGTGTTGACTTGTAAACCTAGTTAATTCTGCAATACATTTGTTAATTGTATACCATTTGTTGGTTGATTCTTGGTTTCACGCGAAGTTCCTTCACATACAGATTTCTGGGTTAACATATTCTTTCAATTTGGGAATCAACACGTAACAAATCACATTAACCACCTGATAAATAAACTCACAATAGTCACATTAACAACCTCTATGTGATTTGGTTGATTTAACAAGAAGAAAGCAAATCATATTTAAAGAAAATTGTTTACATATTTGCATATTTCATACCTTGGTTGCTTCGCTTCAGTAGGAGAATCATATTTTATGGCACAACTACAAATAATGTATGGGTAACATTTCCTGGTTGAACTCTTGACCGTACCAAACTTTGGTTACTGGCATTCAGCTATCAAAGTATTATTCACATGCAACATGACCACCCAATCCCTTTTTCACAGGCAACACTGGCACTGAGATACCATCCTGCAAGCCAACATGGATACTCCACTCAGACAGGAAGGAGGCCCCCGACCTTTAGAACTCCGAGTGGAGTAAGGCGGTGAGAGTCAGTCATTGATGAGGGGCTAATTCATTGCTGTGACAAACCTCTGTTACAGCATTAGTCATCTCAACAGGAAGCAAGCAAATGTTTTACTCTGCAGACACTCTAACCACTAGATCATTGGGATATTAGAAGGCAAATGGCAATGAGTAGGTGCTGCTCTGAAACAGAATTGGACCAGGCAGCTGTTGTGGAACCTACCTTATTTAAGGCAATTATGAATGGTGTGTCTTTCTCCTTGAGAAGGTTGATGGATTCTATAGTCTGTGGCTCCAGACCATGCATGATGTCCACAACAAGGATGGCAATATCACAGAGAGAGGAGCCACGTGATCGCAGGTTGCTGGAAGGAAGAGCAGCAAGGTAAACAAGAGTCATCAGGAGATGATCTATCCCCCTGGTCTTGCGCAATTCAGAAATGAGTTTGGGTACTCTTGGTTCACTGCCATTGGATTCCTTCAGTTTAGTGAATGAATGAATGAATGAATGAATGAATGAATGAATGAATGAATGAATGAATGAATGAATGAATGAATGAATGAATGAATGAATGAATGAATGAATGAATGAATGAATGAATGAATGAATGAATGAATGAATGAATGATCAGTCTGTGCCACAGTGCAGGGTAAAGAACAAAGAACATACCACAAACTGAGCAGCTTTCTATAAAGCCCGAATAACACATGCCCATTGTCATGCTCACACACTGGACTACTCCAACTGAACACAAAGAAATATTCCAAAACTAAAAAAAAAGAAACCTGAAAATATCATACACATATTACGTTGAACATGAAAAGGAGTTCACATATGTGTATTTTTGCACAAATATTAGTACAATGACAGGGGAATTGCATAAGAGCTTCAGGCAGAATGGGCTTCATGTTATTAAATCAGTAGTGGCAGGGTGGGGAATTCAACTTTTGAAACTTAACCAACAGGGTGTGAGTGTAGAGTAATCCAGGGGTATATCTCCACTCCACAATGAGGCAAGAATGGCCACAAGTATTTCCATGACAGGAAGACACTTGGGGGATTTCATGTCATTATCCATATGTTATTGCCAGTGGGGGCAGGTTCAGGGTTAGTGTACATATGCAGAGTGAAATCTAACCACGGCACTGCCTAGAAATATTTGGCTGTTTATCCATCCATATATGTTCAGGATACCACACTGAACAGGATGTGAGGCAACCGCATGAGCCAGCATGAAACTAGTGTTCTCACCTGAAAGACTCGTGGCCGGGTGTGTCGATGATGAGGAGACCAGGCACCTTGAGCTCCTGCTTCTGAAACTGCACACAGGTTGAACACCAATTAGTGTGATACAGGACACATAATACTCAGTATCTGTTCGTGACGTCCCCAAACCACATCAAACAGACATCCTTTCTTTGAATTATGACATAATATTTGAACACACATTGGAAGCCAGTATGACAGGAGTTTCTGTAGAAACATGGAAACGCTTGGCCAAAATACCTGTCAGGAAAGGAGGTTTCTTTTCTTCTTTAGAGACTGACATACTAAATCGAATACCATGTGAGTATAGTGAGGTACAAAGAGGTACCATTAGGAATAATTGAGGTCAGGTCTGTGTGGCACTTTTATACAAGATGTTTTCAGATCCGAATTCAGAATGTGAATGTTGCTTTGTAAATCCCAATTTTAATCAGCTATGAATAATGTCAATTCGTCTCTTCAATTTTGTTTGCTCATTTGCTTTAAGTGCTGCACTCAGCAATATTCCAGCCATATGACAGCAGCTAGTATATAATCGAGTCTGAACCAGACAATCCAGTGACTGATCCGAGCAACAATACACGTCATCAAGGTACAATAACATGCTGTCATCCAGGCCACCGCCCACTCAACAATACACTTCACCAAGGTACGATGTCACTGTGTCATCCAAGCCACCAACCACTCAACAATACACATCACCAAGGTACGATGTCACCCTGTCATCCAAGCCACCGACCACCCAACAATACGTCATTAAGGTACGATGTCACCCTGTCATCCAAGCCACCGACCACCCAACAATACGTCATTAAGGTACGATGACACACTATCATCCAAGCCACCGCCCACTCAACAATACACGTCACCAAGGTACGATGTCACTGTGTCATCCAAGCCACCAACCACTCAACAATACACGTCACCAAGGTACGATGTCACCCTGTCATCCAAGCCACCGACCACCCAACAATACGTCATAAAGGTACGATGTCACCGTGTCATCCAAGCCACCGACCACCCAACAATTCGTCATTAAGGTACGATGACACACTATCATCCAAGCCACCACCCACTCAACAATACACGTCACCAAGGTACGATGTCACTGTGTCATCCAAGCCACCGACCACTCAACAATACACGTCACCAAGGTACGATGTCACCCTGTCATCCAAGCCACAGACCTCCCAACAATACGTCATTAAGGTACGATGTCACCGTGTCATCCAAGCCACCGACCACCCAACAATACGTCATTAAGGTACGATGACACACTATCATCCAAGCCACCGACCACTCAACAATACGTCATTAAGGTACGATGTCACCGTGTCATCCAAGCCACCGACCACTCAACAATACGTCATTAAGGTACGATGTCACCTTGTCATCCAAGCCACCGACCACCCAACAATACACGTCACCAAGGTACGATGTCACCGCGTCATCCAAGCCACCGACCACCCAACAATACGTCATTAAGGTACGATGACACACTATCATCCAAGCCACCAACCAGTCAACAATACGTCATTAAGGTACGATGTCACCCTGTCATCCAAGCCACCGACCACCCAACAATACACGTCACCAAGGTACAATGTCACCCTGTCATCCAAGCAACCAACCACTCAACAATACACGTCACCAAGGTACGATGACACACTATCATCCAAGCCACCGACCACCCAACAATACACGTCACCAAGGTACGATGTCACTGTGTCATCCAAGCCACCAACCACTCAACAATACGTCATTAAGGTACGATGTCACCCTGTCATCCAAGCCACCGACCACCCAACAATACACGTCACCAAGGTACGATGTCACCGCGTCATCCAAGCCACCGACCACCCAACAATACGTCATTAAGGTACGATGACACACTATCATCCAAGCCACCAACCAGTCAACAATACGTCATTAAGGTACCATGTCACCCTGTCATCCAAGCCACCGACCACCCAACAATACACGTCACCAAGGTACAATGTCACCCTGTCATCCAAGCCACCAACCACTCAACAATACACGTCACCAAGGTACGATGACAAACTATCATCCAAGCCACCGACCAGTCAACAATACATCATTAAGGTACGATGTCACCCTGTCATCCAAGCCACCATCCCCAACAATACACGTCACCAAGGTACGATGTCACCGTGTCATCCAAGCCACCGACCACCCAACAATACACGTCACCAAAGTACGATGTCACCCTGTCATCCAAGCCACCGACCAGTCAACAATACACGTTACCAAGGTACGATGTCACCGTGTCATCCAAGCCACCGACCACCCAACAATACACGTCACCAAGGTACGATGTCACTGTGTCATCCAAGCCACCGACCAGTCAACAATACACGTCACCAAGGTACGACGTCACCGTGTCATCCAAGCCACCGACCACCCAACAATACACGTCACCAAGGTACGATGTCACCCTGTCATCCAAGCCACCGACCACCCAACAATACGTCAGTAAGGTACGATGTCACCGTGTCATCCAAGCCACAGACCACCCAACAATACACATCACCAAGGTACGATGTCACCCTGTCATCCAAGCCACCGACCACCCAACAATACGTCATATACGATTAAATTGCCTCGTAAAAAAAGCATCCGAACCTGCGGCAGGAGATCTATCTGAATAAGCATGGACAAAGTACACAACTATGTACAATCGAGTGTCAGCGTATATGTGTAGAATATAGGATATCAACTGTGGGGAACCAGTCATGCAACAGTGCAGTGCCTGCTCCTGGTGACTCTACCTCTTTGCACATCTTTGTCTGATCCATGATCGCTTCCACCGGCACATTGGTGGCTCCGATCTGCTGCGTGATCCCGCCGGCCTCCCCGTCCTGCACGTTTGTCCGCCGCAGCTGCAACAGATAACAATCAGTGAGCGGTTAACACCAACTTCAACAACATTCTAGCTCCATCCAGGACGTCTAAGCTAACCAGTGAAAGGATGAGACATAATCCCTGCCATCAGGGTATGATAAAATCAGCAAGGTCACGGGGAATAGCTGGCGACCTATACTGACTAGGAATTCATGCACAGTGGACGAGGATGTGAATCCCCACTTAAATCAGCGAAAAATGAGGACCTATTTGGATGTGGACACTCCAACACTCATTGTCAGCAACACTGCGTTGCCTTACCTTGTCAAGGATCTTCGTCTTGCCCGTGTCAACGTGACCCAGCACACAAACAACAGGAGCTCGAAGAACATCCGTGGTTCTCTTCTTTGCACATTCTCGAGTCCATTTCTGAAAATTTTAACAACCCATTAGTTGCTCAGCTGTATTTACTGCAAAATTATATATTTTCCATAAATTTTCAAGTAAAAATTGCTAAGTGACGTAAATTATGGTTCTATCAGAATCAGGTTTAGTCATCAGTTTGTAACAAAGCTCTTTAGGTGAAAAATAGTTTGAAAAATAATTGTAAGTTAAATATTTGTGTGTCTTGGAGTGGGATGTTTACATTGGGGAGATACACAACTACTTAACTTCTTTTGAGTAGTAAATGTTGATATATACAGATTGTAAGCTAAACAAATCTCAAATCTACCACAATGTGTTACATAAATCTCCTATTTCATTTTCCAGTCTAGTGATCAAGTCGGCATCTACCCACCTCTATCTTCTCCCTAACCCCCTCCAGTATAGTGATCAAGTCGGCATCTACCTACCTCTATCTTCTCCCTACCCCTCTCGATGGGAGTCATGTCTTCTTCATCAGATGACTCTTCACTGCTCTCTGTCTCCTCATCACTGTCTTCATCACTCTCCTCATCACTTTCTTCCTCCGATTCCTCCTCTTCTTCGTCGGATTCCTCTTTTCCTGAGGTCGACGGTTTTGCTGATTCTGTGAAAGAAATATATCTCCTTGATGTACATTTTGTCTTGTCTATTCCCCACAACACATTCCATGTTAAACCTTAGCTATATGGATGAAACAGGCAGGGTTTTATCTTGGTCCAGGGGACCCCCAATAATTAATTTTAAGGGTCCTTGCAGGCAATAAGAGGGTCCTGTAAAGTAATGAAATGGTGTAGTGTACTGTACTTTTTGATAATTACTTTAAGGCTTGGAATGAATCAATGATCATGTGGACAGTGGTCATGATTGATGGAGGAAATGACAGACACCCATAACTGCTCTTGATGCACTGTAGGAACAATGAATATTATTGTGCGTCGCGTAAAACACTCAACAGGTCTCATGACTTTCTGCCTTGGTTGGCTAAGACATATTTGGTGATAGTTGCAGGGGTGATAGATCATAGTATTCAAGAAATGAAATGAGATGAAATGGGGTTTAACATTGCATTCAAGATTATTGCCCAATACTGCAATGTGCATTAGTGGCCTGATCAGATCAGTGGGACCAGGCAGATCAAGGGGACAGGGCAGATCAGGGGGACTGGGCAATTCAGGGGGACTGGGCAATTCAGGGGGACCGGGCAGATCAGGGGGACCGGGCAAATCAGGGGGACCGGGCAAATCAGGGGGACCGGGGAGATCAGGGGGACCGGGCAGATCAGGGGGACAGGGCAGATCAGGGGGACAGGGCAGATCAGGGGGACCGGGCAGATCAGGGGGACCTGGCAGATCAGGGGGACCGGGGAGATCAGGCAGATCAGGGGGACCAGGTAGATCAGGTAGATCTGGGGACCAGGTAGATCAGGGGGACCGGGCAGATCAAGTAGATCAGGGGGACCAGGTAGACCAGGGGGACCAGGCAGATCAGGGGGACCGGGTAGATCAGGGGGACCGGGCAGATCAGGGGGACCGGGCAGATCAGGGGTACTGGGCAGATCAGGGGTACTGGGCAGATCAGGGGGACCGGGTAGATCAGGGGGACCAGGCAGATCAGGTAGATCTGGGGACCAGGCAGATCAGGGGGACCGGGCAGATCAGGTAGATCAGGGGGACCAGGTAGATCAGGGGGACCAGGCAGCTCAGGGGGACCAGGTAGATCAGGGGTACCGGGCAGATCAGGGGGACCGGGTAAATCAGGGGGACCGGGCAGATCAGGGGGACCAGGCTGATCAGGTAGATCTGGGGACCAGGTCATAGTTTCACCTGTCATGGTCCTACCCGTCATAGTTTCACCTGTCATGGTCCTACCCGTCATAGTTTCACCTGTCATGGTCTGACCTGTCATAGTTTCACCTGTCATGGTCCTACCCGTCATAGTTTCACCTGTCATGGTCCTACCCGTCATAGTTTCACCTGTCATGGTCCTACCTGTCATAGTTTCACCCATCAAGGTGCAACCTGTCCTAGTTTCACCTGTCCTAGTTTCACCTGTCATGGTCTGACCTGTCATGGTCCTACCCGTCATAGTTTCACCCATCAAGGTGCAACCTGTCATGGTCTGACCTGTCATAGTTTTACCTGTCATGGTCTGACCTGTCATAGTTTCACCTGTCATGGTCCGACCTGGCATGGTTTCACCTGTCATGGTCTGACCTGTCATGGTTTCACCTGTCATGGTCCAACCTGTCCTAGTTTAACCTGTCATGGTCCTACCCGTCATAGTTTCACCTGTCATGGTCTGACCTGTCATGGTTTCACCTGTCATGATCTGACCTGTCATAGTTTCACCTGTCATGGTCCGACCTGTCGTAGTTTCACCTGTCATGGTCCTACCCGTCATAGTTTCACCTGTCATGGTCCGACCTCTCATAGTTTCACCTGTCATGGTCCGACCTGTCGTAGTTTCACCTGCCATGGTTTCACCTGTCATGGTCCGACCTGTCATAGTTTCACCTGTCATGGTCTAACCTGTCATAGTTTCACCTGTCATGGTCTGACCTGTCATAGGTTCACCTGTCATGGTCTAACCTGTCATGGTTTCACCCATCAAGGTCCAACCTGTCCTAGTTTCACCTGTCACGGTCCTACCCGTCATAGTTTCACCTGTCACGGTCCTACCGGTCATAGTTTCACCTGTCATGGTTTCACCTGTCATAGTTTCACCCACAATTTCACCCATCAAGGTCCGACCTGTCATAGTTTCACCTGTCATTGTCCGACCTGTCGTAGTTTCACCTGTCATGGTTTCACCTGTCATAGTTTCACCCACAATTTCACCCATCAAGGTCCGACCTGTCATAGTTTCACCTGTCATTGTCCGACCTGTCACAGTTTCACCTGTCACGGTCCTACCTGTCATAGTTTCACCTGTCATGGTTTCACCTGTCATAGTTTCACCTGTCATGGTTTCACCTGTCATAGTTTCACCTGTCACGGTCCTACCCGTCATAGTTTCACCTGTCACGGTCCTACCCCTCAGTTTCACCTGTCATGGTTTCACCTGTCATAGTTTCACCCACAATTTCACCTATCAAGGTCCGACCTGTCATAGTTTCACCTGTCACGGTCCAACCTGTCATAGTTTCACCTGTCATTGTCCGACCTGTCGTAGTTTCACCTGTCATGGTTTCACCTGTCATAGTTTCACCTGTCATAGTTTCACCCACAATTTCACCCATCAAGGTCCGACCTGTCATAGTTTCACCTGTCATTGTCCGACCTGTCACAGTTTCACCTGTCATGGTCCTACTCGTCATAGTTTCACCCTTAATTTCACCCATCAAGGTGCAACCTGTCATAGTTTCACCTGTCATGGTTTCACCCATAATTCCACACATCATGGCTTCACTTGTTGTAGTTTTACCTGTCATGGTCTGACCTGTCATACTTTCACCTGTCCTAGGTTCACCTGTCATACTTTCAATTGTTGAAGTTTCACCCATCATGGTTTCACCTGTCCAAGTTTCACCTGTCATGGACTGACCTGTCATAGTTTCACCCATAATAGTTTTACCAATCATGGTTTCACCTGTCATAGTTTCACCTACCTGTCTTGGATTCGTTTGCTGTTTTCTCCAGCTTTGTTTCCTCCTCATCAGACAGATCCCATGCATCCTTCACGCCCTCATCTGCATCCTCCCAGGAATCCTTTACTTCAGTAGCTGGTTCCTCCTTCCCTGTTTCTTCCACAGCTGCCTTCTCAGGGACGTTCTCAATCACCGGGGTCTTCTCCTCAGATGGTGAAGGTGTCTGCTCTGCTGCAGGATCTAACAATCATCATCATCAGTTCAGATCTTAAAGGGACAGTTAGGTAACCAAGTGTTGAACATCTTCCCGCGACAAACGTGTCCACTAGCCTATATCAAAGCCTACTTTCTAACCATGCCACACCAAGGCCACTTTTCTTGGCCCGACCCTGGCACCACCTTGCGTAGATTACGAGTTGTGCCCCTTGTAATAAAAATGCGAGATTCAATGAGATCACTGTTCTTACCTCGTATAGTTTTACAAAGATGGCGACTACCATAAGCGCCGACCTAGTCGATCAGGTAACGAAAACATTCACGATTTCGTCCCTGACCCAAAAACATAGGCAATTATTGGGGGATTTAAAAGATGAAAAAGACATATTTGTGTCAACAAAGACAGGCAGCAGTAAATACCTTCATACGAAGGTGTACCAGTAGTTGATGTTGATTTTGTTAAATGTTCTCTGACTGGACTAGCAATATAGCACAGGAAAGTTGGCTTGATGTGGCAAGGATGGACTGTTGCCTAGAGAAGATGAATGTTGAAGTGTTCACTTATCACTCACACGGACTGGGTTCTATTTCCGCACACCTGTATCACATCTCCATGTTACTGTGATAATCCTTGACCTATCTGCCAGCAACAAGCTTCGTTTCTCAAGTGATGTCAACTTCCCCCATCCTTCTTATTGCCAGCTTACCACAGAATGTCTCCCACTCGAAATCAACAACCAATCAAAACCCATCTTCTGAACTTATGATCTTCTACAAGAATTGCCACCCCTTGATATATTTAATCAAATCTGAAGATTGAACCTTTGGCTAAGATAACATTTTCATGAGTGTGGAGACAGTGATTGGTTGTCCTTTTCATTCTTAAACTGTACAGATGTTCTAGTTCTATTTGAGAACGGCACACAAAAGTTGAGTACTGATGAGTTGGTCGGTGTAATTACACCAGTGTAACTGAATGGATGACTATTTTTAGCATTGACACAAAACAAAGCTTAGGTGGCAAATGAATCCTTGTCATAATACTGCAAGTGAGTGAGTTGGGTTTAACACCACTTTTAACAGTGTTCCAGGTATATCACTGGGTGTCAGTTTAATGTGGGAGAAAAGCCCAAAGAGAAGCAGGTCTCGGTCATTTACAACTTTGATTAAACCCACGACAAACCTAGAAACATAATCGGGGAGAATTTGGATTCAACCCCAAATCATAGGTTTCTGGCAGGCCCAAGGGACGTAACTCTGTACAAATGGGAGCTCAGACATATGGGACACTGTGTAATGGAGGATGTATGAGGTGAAACTCATGTTGAAATGTTAGCTGACTTGGGTCCACTGTGCACTGGTGAACACTGACAGTAACAAAAACCAAAACACCGCAATTATTTATCCATTAGGAACGACAAATGTACGACAATGCCAAAGCTTGGCTGATGTCTGGGTGACCGAAAATTACATACCCTTCTGGTGATCCTTCTTCTTCCGCTTGTCTCCATAGAACGGTCGCTTCTTTTGAGTGGCGTCCTTATCGGGAATCTCAAGGCCTGAAACATGAACTTATTTAAATCATTTTCTGTAGAAATGTCAGTCATTGAAGCTGAAGACCCCCTTCATAAATTCAGTGACTGTCCTTCCATTAATGTGTCATTTATACCTCTAGTATTTACTGGATGAATGTTAGACCTCATCACAGTTCTACAGCTCCACCACCAGCCAGCAATTTCAGCTAGTTATTAGCTTGTGGCATGTCTGTAGTGTGGGGGAGTCACCTGTGGCATGTCTGTAGTGTGGGGGAGTCATCTTGTGGCATGTCTGTAGTGTGGGGGAGTCACCTTGTGGCATGTCTGTAGTGTGGGGGAGTCACCTTGTGGCATGTCTGTAGTGTGGGGGAGTCACCTTGTGGCATGTCTGTAGTGTGGGGGGGTCACCTGTGGCATGTCTGTAGTGTGGGGGGGTCACCTGTCGCATGTCTGTAGTGTGGGGGAGTCACCTGTGGCATGTCTGTAGTGTGGGGGAGTCACCTGTGGCATGTCTGTAGTGTGGGGGAGTCACCTTGTGGCATGTCTGTAGTATGGGGGAGTCATCTTGTGGCATGTCTGTAGTGTGGGGGAGTCACCTGTGGCATGTCTGTAGTGTGGGGGAGTCACCTGTGGCATGTCTGTAGTGTGGGGGAGTCACCTTGTGGCATGTCTGTAGTGTGGGGGAGTCACCTTGTGGCATGTCTGTAGTGTGGGGGAGTCACCTGTAGCATGTCTGTAGTATGGGGGAGTCACCTGTGGCATGTCTGTAGTTTTGGGGAGTCACCTTGTGGCATGTCTGTAGTGTGGGGGAGTCACCTTGTGGCATGTCTGTAGTGTGGGGGAGTCACCTGTGGCATGTCTGTAGTGTGGGGGAGTCACCTGTGGCATGTCTGTAGTGTGGGGGAGTCACCTGTGGCATGTCTGTAGTGTGGGGGAGTCACCTGTGGCATGTCTGTAGTGTGGGGGAGTCACCTTGTGGCATGTCTGTAGTGTGGGGGAGTCACCTTGTGGCATGTCTGTAGTGTGGGGGAGTCACCTGTGGCATGTCTGTAGTGTGGGGGAGTCACCTGTGGCATGTCTGTAGTGTGGGGGAGTCATCTTGTGGCATGTCTGTAGTGTGGGGGAGTCACCTGTGGCATGTCTGTAGTGTGGGGGAGTCACCTTGTGGCATGTCTGTAGTGTGGGGGAGTCACCTTGTGGCATGTCTGTAGTGTGGGGGAGTCACCTTGTGGCATGTCTGTAGTGTGGGGGAGTCACCTTGTGGCATGTCTGTAGTGTGGGGGAGTCATCTTGTGGCATGTCTGCGGTGTGGGGGAGTCACCTTGTGGCATGTCTGTAGTGTGGGGGAGTCACCTTGTGGCATGTCTGTGGTGTGGGGGAGTCACCTTGTGGCATGTCTGTAGTGTGGGGGAGTCACCTTGTGGCATGTCTGTAGTGTGGGGGAGTCATCTTGTGGCGTGTCTGTAGTGTGGGGGAGTCACCTTGTGGCACATCTGTAGTGTGGAGGAGTCACCTTGTGGCACATCTGTAGTGTGGAGGAGTCACCTTGTGGCACATCTGTAGTGTGGGGGAGTCACCTTGTGGCATGTCTGTAGTGTGGGGGAGTCACCTTGTGGCATGTCTGTGGTGTGGGGGGGGGGTCACCTTGTGGCATGTCTGTAGTGTGGGGGGGGTCACCTTGTGGCACATCTGTAGTGTGGAGGAGTCACCTTGTGGCACATCTGTAGTGTGGGGGAGTCACCTTGTGGCATGTCTGTAGTGTGGGGGAGTCACCTTGTGGCATGTCTGTAGTGTGGGGGAGTCACCTTGTGGCACATCTGTAGTGTGGGGGAGTCAACTTGTGGCATGTCTGTGGTGTGGGGGACTCAACCTTTGGCATGTCTGTAGTGTGGGGGAATCACCTTGTGGCATGTCTGTAGTGTGGGGGACTTCACTTGTGGCATGTTTAGAGTGTGGGGGGACTCAACTTGTGGCACATCTGTAGTGTGGGGGAGTCACCTTGTGGCATGTCTGTAGTTTTGGGGAGTCACCTTGTGGTACATATGTAGTGTGGGGGAGTCACCTTGTGGCATGTCTGAAGTGTGGGGCAGTCATCTTGTGGCATGTCTGTAGTGTGGGGGAGTCACCTGGTGGCGTGTCTGTAGTGTGGGGGGGTCACCTTGTGGCATGTCTGTAGTGTGGGGGAGTCACCTTGTGGTACATCTGTAGTGTGGGGGAGTCACCTTGTGGCATGTCTGAAGTGTGGGGCAGTCATCTTGTGGCATGTCTGTAGTGTGGGGGAGTCACCTGGTGGCATGTCTGTAGTGTGGGGGGGTCACCTTGTGGCATGTCTGTAGTGTGGGGGAGTCACCTTGTGGTACATCTGTAGTGTGGGGGAGTCACCTTGTGGCATGTTCGAAGTGTGGGGGGGTCACCTTGTGGCATGTCTGTAGTGTGGGGGAGTCACCTTGTGGTACATCTGTAGTGTGGGGGAGTCACCTGGTGGCATGTCTGAAGTGTGGGGCAGTCATCTTGTGGCATGTCTGTAGTGTGGGGGAGTCACCTGGTGGCGTGTCTGTAGTGTGGGGGGGTCACCTTGTGGCATGTCTGTAGTGTGGGGGAGTCACCTTGTGGTACATCTGTAGTGTGGGGGAGTCACCTTGTGGCATGTCTGAAGTGTGGGGCAGTCATCTTGTGGCATGTCTGTAGTGTGGGGGAGTCACCTTGTGGCATGTCTGTAGTGTGGGGGGGTCACCTTGTGGCATGTCTGTAGTGTGGGGGAGTCACCTTGTGGTACATCTGTAGTGTGGGGGAGTCACCTTGTGGCATGTCTGAAGTGTGGGGGGGTCACCTTGTGGCATGTCTGTAGTGTGGGGGAGTCACCTTGTGGTACATCTGTAGTGTGGGGGAGTCACCTGGTGGCATGTCTGTAGTGTGGGGGGGTCACCTTGTGGCATGTCTGTAGTGTGGGGGAATCACCTGTGGCATGTCTGTAGTGTGGGGGAGTCACCTTGTGGCATGTCTGTAGTGTGGGGGAGTCACCTTGTGGTACATCTGAAGTGTGGGGGAGTCACCTGTGGCATGTCTGTAGTGTGGGGGAGTCACCTGGTGGCATGTCTGTAGTGTGGGGGAGTCAACTTGTGGAACATCTGTAGTGTGGGGGAGTCACCTTGTGGCACATCTGTAGTGTGGGGGAGTCACCTTGTGGCATGTCTGAAGTGTGGGGCAGTCATCTTGTGGCATGTCTGTAGTGTAGGGGAGTCACCTGGTGGCATGTCTGTAGTGTGGGGGGGTCACCTTGTGGCATGTCTGTAGTGTGGGGGGGTCACCTTGTGGCATGTCTGTAGTGTGGGGGAGTCACCTTGTGGTACATCTGTAGTGTGGGGGAGTCACCTGTGGCATGTCTGTAGTGTGGGGGAGTCACCTTGTGGCATGTCTGTAGTGTGGGGGAGTCACCTTGTGGCATGTCTGTAGTGTGGGGGAGTCACCTTGTGGCATGTCTGTAGTGTGGGGGAGTCACCTTGTGGTACATCTGTAGTGTGGGGGAGTCACCTTGTGGCATGTCTGTAGTGTGGGGGGTCACCTTGTGGTATGTCTGTAGTGTGGGGGAGTCACCTTGTGGCATGTCTGTAGTGTGGGGGAGTCACCTTGTGGCATGTCTGAAGTGTGGGGCAGTCATCTTGTGGCATGTCTGTAGTTTTGGGGAGTCACCTTGTGGTACATCTGTAGTGTGGGGGAGTCACCTTGTGGCATGTCTGTAGTGTGGGGGAGTCACCTTGTGGCATGTCTGAAGTGTGGGGCAGTCATCTTGTGGCATGTCTGTAGTGTGGGGGGTCACCTTGTGGCATGTCTGTAGTGTGGGGGGGTCACCTTGTGGCATGTCTGTAGTGTGGGGGAGTCACCTTTTGGCATGTCTGTGGTGTGGGGGACTCAACCTTTGGCATGTCGGGGGGGGGGGGGGGGGGCGCTTGCCTTGTGGCATGTCTGTGGTGGTGGGGGAGTCACCTTGTGGCATGTCTGTAGTGTGGGGGAGTCATCTTGTGGCATGTCTGTAGTGTGGGGGAGTCACTTTGTGGCATGTCTGTAGTGTGGGGGAGTCACCTTGTGGCATGTCTGTAGTGTGGGGGAGTCACCTGTGGTACATCTGAAGTGTGGGGGAGTCACCTTGTGGCATGTCTGTAGTGTGGGGGAGTCACCTGTGGCATGTCTGTAGTGTGGGGGAGTCACCTTGTGGCATGTCTGTAGTGTGGGGGAGTCACCTTGTGGCACATCTGTAGTGTGGGGGAGTCACCTGTGGCATGTCTGTAGTGTGGGGGAGTCACCTTGTGGCATGTCTGTAGTGTGGGGGAGTCACCTTGTGGCACATCTGTAGTGTGGGGGAGTCACCTGTGGCATGTCTGTAGTGTGGGGGAGTCACCTGTGGTACATCTGTAGTGTGGGGGAGTCACCTGTGGTACATCTGAAGTGTGGGGGAGTCACCTTGTGGCATGTCTGTAGTGTGGGGGAGTCACCTTGTGGCATGTCTGTAGTGTGGGGGAGTCACCTTGTGGCACATCTGTAGTGTGGGGGAGTCAACTTGTGGCATGTCTGTGGTGTGGGGGACTCAACCTTTGGCATGTCTGTAGTGTGGGGGAGTCACCTTGTGGCACATCTGTAGTGTGGGGGACTTCACTTGTGGCATGTTTAGAGTGTGGGGGGACTCAACTTGTGGCACATCTGTAGTGTGGGGGAGTCACCTTGTGGCATGTCTGTAGTTTTGGGGAGTCACCTTGTGGTACATCTGTAGTGTGGGGGAGTCACCTTGTGGCATGTCTGAAGTGTGGGGCAGTCATCTTGTGGCATGTCTGTAGTGTGGGGGAGTCACCTGGTGGCATGTCTGTAGTGTGGGGGGGTCACCTTGTGGCATGTCTGTAGTGTGGGGGGGGTCACCTTGTGGCATGTCTGTAGTGTGGGGGGGTCACCTTGTGGCATGTCTGTAGTGTGGGGGAGTCACCTTTTGGCATGTCTGTGGTGTGGGGGAGTCAACCTTTGGCATGTCTGGGGGGGGGGGGGGGGGGGGCTTGCCTTGTGGCATGTCTGTGGTGGTGGGGGACTCACCTTGTGGCATGTCCGTGGTGGTGGGGGACTCATCTTGTGGCATGTCTGTGGTGGTGGGGGACTCACCTTGTGGCATGTCCGTGGTGGGGGGGGGGGAGTCACCTTGTGCCATGTCTGTGGTTGGGGGGGACTCACCTTGTGGCATGTCTGTGGTTGGGGGGGACTCACCTTGTGGCATGTCTGTGGTGGGGGGGACTCACCTTGTTCTCTCATGGCCATCAACATCTGGTTGATCTTCTGTTGGTCACGCTTCTGCTTGGCGTTGAGCAACTTCCCCTCGGCCTTCAGCCGGTCCTTCTTCTCCTTCTCCTTTAGCTTCTTCTTCTCTCTCTTCTCCTTCTCCAGACGCACCTGTGAAGCAGCAACACACCCGCATCAAACTCAACACACACTTGCCTCCATCAACCCAACCAGTTCGCACTTAACCCAGCACTACACCCTCACCAAACGTGCACCAACACCAAGTTGTGATAGACATGGATATTTGATAACTCTCTTCCATGTATTTTAACTGTCACTTGTGAAACTGTATTCACAAGGATTAAAAATATTAAAACCTTAGCCACCTCAGCTTTTCAATCGACAAAAAGTCATCTGAGACAATGTTGACTATATAAACATCCACACTACAATACAGGAAGACATCACTTGAAGAGTACTCAAGATCATGAGGTGCGTGTCCCATGTTTAGTAGAGTGATCTCCCTTGACCATATTGACCCACCTGTTCCTCATGCGCCTTCTCTGCCTCTTCCTCCAGTCTGATTCTCTCCTCTTCTTCTTGTCTCAGCTTCTCCTGCTCTTCCTGAATCATCTTCAGATGGGCCTTGATGGCTGCAACCTGCAGATGGAGGCTAGCATGTCAGGAGGGGGAAGTACACACAAACTTCTGGATTACGCCACGACAACAATTCCCGGTCTATGCTCAGAAAACAGTTCCCAGGCTATGTTAAGAAAACAATTTCTGGACTATGCTCAGAAAACAGTTCCCAGGCTATGCTAAGAAAACAATTCCTGGACAATGCTCAGAAAACAGTTCCCAGGCTATGCTAAGAAAACAATTCCTGGACAATGCTAAGAAAACAATTGCTGAAAAAGTAAGTCCTGGACTACGCTAAGATGAGAATTCCTGGACTATGCTTAGAAATAATTTCTTTTAAAGCATGAATGAAGTGAATGATTCTAGACTGCTTCATCTTCTTCACAGGGACACATACCTTCTTGTTAGGCTTGACTTTCTCTTCCTTTTCCTTCTCTCCCTTTTTCTTTTTCTTCTTCTTTTTCGTCCCCTCCTCTTCTTCTCCTGCCCCATCAGCTACAAAGTTAGAAAACATTTCCATTAAACATGTTATCTTCTCATCTGTAAAATTTTACTGTTCTATTGTTTCACACACACACCGCACAAAGAAGTATCTGAAAGGACACTTGCTGCAGTTATCCCAGACAACAGCTCACCTGCTGCCTCTGTTCCTTCTTCTATCTTCTCAGCTTCAGCCTCTCCTTCCTTCTGCTCTTCCTTCTCTCCATCCTTTGGCACAGACTTCTTCTTCTGAAACAACAACAGACAAATGCAAACAGCCCATTCGGATAATCACAATACACCTGGCGCTACGTTTAATGTTTCAAAATCAGATTACATTTTTATTCATTTTGAACATGAAAATACACAAACCTGTAACTTCTTGAGGCGTTCACGTTCCTTCTTCTCTTTCTTCTTCTGTGCTGCGGACTTGACAGTGCTACCTTCCTCCTCGTCTTCCTCCTCCTCCTTCTCATCGTCATCATCTTCTGCCTTCTCCACTTTCTTCTCCTTCTTCTTCTTTTTCTTCTTCTTGTCTTCATATTCAGCTTCCATATCGTCCATTGTTACGACTTGGCCTTCAGCTGCAGCAGGGGCAGCCTCAATCTGATCTGTTTCCATGGCAACACTATCTTCTTCTGCCTTCTTTCCTTTCTTCCCTTTCTTCTTCTCTGCAGGTTTTTCCAGAGCTGCTAAAATTGCATCAATATCTTCTTCTTCTGCAGTTTTGGCCTTTTCTTTTTTCTTGGCCTTCTTATCTTTTTTAGACTTGGTTGTACTTTCGAGAACAGATTCAAGGACAACATTTTCAGTTTTCATTTCTTGAGTTGATTCATTGTCACTTTTTGCCTCATCCTGAAACACAAGTTGTTGATTGTACATAAAGAAAATGTTGAAATAACACTGCTAATTTGCCAGTTGAAACAAACACACCAAGAACAACATGGAGAAACAAACATCCTTGGTTACCTTGACTTTACTTTACCTACCATAGAATCCTGCAGCTATATAAGCTGCACTCCAAACGACTTGACTTCACAAAACATTTATCAACAGTTTGACATCAAGGTAAACCCTGCAAGTCTGAACATCCCTGTCAGTCTGGACCCTGCTAGCCTCGATCCTGTTAGTCTGAACTCTGCTAGTCTGAACCCTGCTCGGCAGGACCCTGTTACTCTGGACCCTGCTAGTCTGAACCCTGCTAATCAGGACCCAGCTAGTCTGAACCCTGCTAATCAGGACCCAGCTAGTCTGAACCCTGTTCGGCAGGACCCTGTTACTCTGGACACTGTTAGTCAGGACCCTGCTAGCCTGGATCCTGTTAGTCTGAACCCTGCTCGTCTGAACCCTGCTCGGCAGGACCCTGTTACTCTCAACCCTGTTACTCTCAACCCTGCAAGTCTGGACCCTGCTAGCCTGGATCCTGTTAGTCTGAACCCTGGTAGTCAAAACCCTGCAAGTCTGAACCCTGCTAGTCTGAATCCTGCTAGTCTGGACCCTGCTTGTCTGGACCCTGCTAGTCTGGACCCCGTTACTCTGGACCCCGTTACCCTGGACCCTGGTAGTCAGGACCCTGTTAGTCTGGACCCTGCTAGTCTGAACCCCTGCTAGTCTGAACCCTGCTAATCTGGACCCTGTTAGTCTGAACCCTGCTAGTCAGGACCCTGCTAGTCTGAACCCTACTCAACAGGACCCTGTTACTCTGGACCCTGTTAGTCAGGACCCTGTTAGCCTGGACCCTGTTACTCTGGACCCTGTTAGATATCAAACACTCATTTTCCCGAGGCAAGGGAGTTTACTGACTATGTAAGTCCAGTTTCAACCCTTGCCGAACTAAGCTGGAATTGTGGAATTATATTTTGTCCGGACTAATGAGTCTATGCACAGTCTAATCAAAATCGTCTTACGAAATCGACATCAGGTTCGTAAACTGCCAAGCAGATTTCGGTCGATTGCAGGATTTGCAAACCATGTGTACCATAAACATGAGGTCAACAGAAATTTTCAAAATCTATTCATGTTTTTGATCAAGGTGCTCACATGATTTGATGCACTTCACAAAGAAAGACCCATTTTATTACAGTATAGATCTTTAATATAGATCAGATCATCTTCACTGGCCGCCGCTAATTTGTTTGAAGCAAACAAGTGAAATGAGAGATGGAATCTGATTGGTCATTAGGAGGGACATAGGAGGGACATAGAAGTGACAAAACTTGTAATAGCCACTGGTGGCACTACGATCGAGCCCAGAAATTCCAGCCTAGTTCAGCAAGGGTGGAAACTGGAATTTACTGTTAGTTTGCCTCAGGGAGATGTGAAACACTTAACCAGCTGGTTGGTAACGTACCTAGGTCCAGACATGTCACTTCCCCCTCATCCCATTTAGGCAGAAAAGATTTGCTATCCAACAAACAAATAATTGCCCTTTGATGAACAAGACTTTGACAAAGACAATTAAATGCATGACAGTGTGAGAACCCTTATCATGGGTCTACAACACTGGGGTACAAAAGACACATCAGCCAGTGTGCTCGGACCAAGCTATCACCAATACTTGATTGCCACTCAACACAATCCTCTTCCACAAATACTTTAAGACAAGCATTATGTAGAGAGGTGGCCATAACAGAAGCTTTCACTAAGAGGTGGTTATCATTGTTTCATACCTCAAATTGACCAAACAGTTTTCCCCAAATCCATGGTAAAATGTTATTAATGTCACTATCAGCAGTATTCTAGCACAATCACAGAGGCATGTTAATGATTGAGTCTGGAACCAGGTAAACCAGTGATTGGCAACACCGTAGAGGACCACACAATGAGCCAGGTCACATATCCACTAGAGCCCTCTTAAACAAGCACTGGATACTTGAGGTCAGAATTCCCAGGAGGCCTGCTACCCAAGAGAATAGTCCGTGAAAACCTACCTCATCGTCATCATCGTCATCCATCATCAGCATCTGAAATGAGGCCATTGGCTTCTTTCCCTTTGTTTTCACTGCGGCGTCCTCACCATCGTCTTCTTCGTCATCACTGTCCACAGCCTTCTTCTTTTTCTTCTTCTTCTCCTGAAACATTCAACATTTATAAGAATGTATGTTGTTCAATGTCACACCATATTCTAGGTATATGATGGTGGCCTGTAAATAATTGTGTCAGGAACCAGACAATCCAGTGATCGATATTGCGAACAACGATCCACCCCATTGAGGTATGATGACATGCTATCAACCAAGTCACCAAGACTGACAACCCGATCTATTTAGTTACCCCTTACGTCAAACATAGGTTGCTGGGGACCTATTTTAGTCCAGAATCTCAATGGGACATAAAGTTATGATACTCCTGTAGCATTCTTCAAGATACAGTCAAGTCCCGTTAATCCGACATCGATGGTTGCATATGATTATGTCGGATTAACGAGTATGTCGGATAAACAAAATTTAGTAGTATCAACGTTTGTGATCGAAAATCGGACAACCACACGATAGATAAGGATTCAAACACATAATAAGAAATATAAAATAAATATTCATATTGTTATGGTACATTGTTGGCAGAATGTTTTCTAATCATGCAACCTCTAAAGTTTAACACAAAACAACTGTTACGGACTGTATGACCGATTCAAAATACTTTAAAAAGCATAGTCTGGAATGGAAGTCGCAACTTTGAAACACAGGCTGTGTACTCGAGGGCAGATGACCACGGAGTACGCAGATCACTGTGTCGGATTAACGAGACTGATTAATGAGTGATTTCGGTAATTCGTTGCAAATTAGGTGTGTCAGAGTCAGAGTGCGAGACTGTCGGATTAACGGGTCTAAATAGCACTGATTTAATCGGTTCCCATCATTAGTGTCGGTTAAAGCCAATTGTCGGATTAACGAGTGTCTGATTAACGAGACTTGACTGTACGTGTTATTTCTAATCTGATTGTCTGACAGTGCAGTGATTATCTGACTCGCTGCAGTGAATATCTGACATATTGCAGTGATTGTCTGACCCAGTATAGTGATTGTCTGACTCAGTGTAGTGATTGTCAACAGTACAGACGTCCCACCTTCTTTTTAGCTGGTTGTACATCTTCACCATTCTCTTCCGACTTCATGTCAAGTGAGAGAGCAGCTATTTCTGATGCCACATTGTCTTCACTGGAAAATATTATTTTCAAAAGCAAAAATAAATCATACTGTAAGGTCATAGTGATATTAGAGAAGGAGACATCTACCAGTGGTGAATGAGTTGTTTAAGGTTTTTACATAGCCCCCTGTCCAGTTGTGACATAGCAAGCAAGTGATGACACATCAAACTCCATCATGTCCGACTTGTATGGCCCTTTACCATACAGAGAGTAGCCAGTCAGATAGATGTTATGATGACTTAATGATAATATGCCTTGTTTCCTTTTGACAAAATAAACTGATATATAGGTACTTACAAATCATCGTCTCTCTTCCTGTTTTTCTTTCCTTTCTTTGTTGCCTTGGCGACAGGGGGAGGGTTTGTTTCTTTATGTTCCATTTCTGCCAGTGGGTCGATGACAACTTCCTCATCACTACTGCAAACATATATTTATCTAGGATTAACATGAAAACAGAATGTCTATTAACAAACAAATAATCCTTTGGCTCACATTAAATATTCCACTGATTATTAAGTTGGTTGTTAGAAAACGTTCTCTTTCTCAAATCAGAAGATCCTGTATGGAAACACTAAAAAATAATATTTGCCATTTATCATGTTTATTCCATATTAAGGTAAATATTGATTAGGTGAACAAGGCTTATTTAATGCTGCTTTGGTGTCTGTAGTCTGCTCAAAAGAGAAAATACGAAAGTGAGAAGGTCTTCTTTGGTGAAACCCATGAATGGGTGGGTCTGACAGGTCTAGGATGACAGACAGGGTGAATCTGGCATTCAAACCCATGAGGTTAGTATTGACAATGTATGCCAAATAACGTTGACGCAATCAGCCAAGTCACCAACCATCCATCACCGACCATCCGTCAAAAACAGAACCACAAACTTTTAAAACATGTCACAATACCCTATGACATAATTTGTGAAATTTTGAAGAGATTGTCCTCATGAAAAGTTTTAGTACTGAATTTTAAACAACCAGCAATAGAGCAGTCTGCGACTTTAGTCTACATTAAGTTCAGTAAGCTCAGCTTATAATAGTCCATATGTTAACACTACACTCTGCTGGAACGATAACAAGAGGCAAGTTGAGACCAGTGGGCACAAATGATTGTTGAAAAGACTATGCAATGGGGATCTTTTCTACATGTTCTAAGCCAGGTCCATTCAGGGATTTTTTTATGTTCTGAACATAATAGACAATCATGAGGGTCAGAATTAAATTAGAATTTCATCATTGTTTATCAATTAAAATCTGTTTGCACAAATAGATGAAACATATAAACATGTATAAGTTAAAACTGTTCCTGATTTTATCAGCATTTGAATAATTTTCAATGCTTGACTTGTTGCATATATCAGCGTGTACAGGTCACCGACCAGTTATCGCCATTTTTTTCATGTTATTTCTTAAACATTTTGTGAATTAAGTTGAGTAATAACTATGATTTTTGTGAAATTATGTCCAAAAACTCATATTTCTGTCCATGGAATAAGTTTCGCAAGATTTCTGTTATAACGCGAAGATAGGGAATCAAAACAGTGGAAATAGACCATGTAGACATTTCCCTTTGACCAACTGTAGCAGTTATCGCCATTGTCTAAACAGCATGTGCCACGTGACCACACACACTGATTCAGTTATACAAATTACATTTTCTATTTTCTCTGGTATCTCACTCAATTTTTATATTCATTTCACTTAATAAGAAATGCTATTATCAATTTGTCGTCTGCAAACTTACGTAAACCAATATTGCCCAAATCTGATCTACATTTCTTAACAGTATGTACTATGGATTTTGTGACATATACAGGGTTATGCATTTGTGGAAAGATATCTCAACAAGGTTTTATCATTGTACTTTGAGGACAAATGGACAGATGGATCGTAAGCTATCTTAACAGAACTGAATGTGCATCATCATGTTGTTGGATGTCTGTTTACTCATGAATTAGTCATATGACATCGCCCCTGTGTCTTTTATAAAATTGTACTTGATTATAAGGTGTGCCTTTTAATGTTTCCTCACAAGAATAAATTTTGTTCATCATTCTTGGATAAATATTTCTTTCTTCTAATAAAAACAAACAAACGTAAAATGAGATGTAATCGTGTGCACACAGGGAGTTGGCGATAATTTGTCGCTAACCAGCAATCATGTGCCCATGACATTGAGATCTAATCAATCTTTAAACCTGTATGGTAAAATAAACATTCAAATACAAAATAAAACATTTCAAATACAAAATAAAACACTGGAAACTTACCCTTGCTGGCTTTGTGGTATTTGAAGTTAAAACTTGAATAAATTCTTAAAGAATTTCTGAACAATGTCACACAATTATCAAGTCAAGTATTAAACTGAATCGAATAAATATGAAAACAATTACAAGTTCCGATTGAACTCAGTTCTTCTGACTGCCAATATTTCCTGTATATGTTGTCTTTACCCCTTCAACAATATGGTTGACAGTGGAGAAACTAGCTTCTTGTTATGCTTGCTGGACTATTATATAGTATATGATAAATTAAATTGCACCACTTCCGGCGATAGTTTCATGGCTCATCTACGGATAGGTTAGGAATGATTCTATATTTAATCGCCAGTGACATGTGTTTACATTATCACATGTCCGCACTGTCTTGACAGCAATACGTTTGAAAACAAGTTAACAACATGTGGTTAAATGTCGCCATGCGATCACTTACAAGTCATCTGCTTGTCCCTTCTTGCCTTTCTTTGGTTTCCCCATACTTTCTGTTCACTGGCTTTGGTTTAAATAATCATCCAACAGTCTATTATTTAACTTCTAATTTTAGTTCAACAATATTGTCGGACGAATTGCACTTATTGCAGAAATCTCCTTTACAGGTGCGCATGTAGTTTTGATATCCGGTCGAACGGAATTCTGGGGAAATGGAAGTAAAATCCGGACAATCAGGGAGGAAGTTGTCTGTGAGAAGACCAACATTATCTGTGAATAACACATTTTCCCGTTGTCAATTCCTCTATATTATGTGACAATCGTTTAATCGGATGTTCATATATATATATTGTTCTTATAATGTAGATCTACACTGTTGTAGTTGTTTCTTTGGATTAGAATATGTAGCTTTTCCGGTATGATAGGCCTACGCAGAACCTGCAGCCCAAATAGATCTATGATTTGATGACTATACAAATAAGGAATAAAGTTTGAGATGTTCTAACTTCTATACTAACTGTCAAATTAATATTTCTTGTAATATTTAGTTTTAAAAAGTGATATTAATTATTATAGGTCTTGAACTGGTAGTATAGAAGTTAGAACATCTCAATGGAAATACGTGGATTTGGGAAATGTTTGTCATAAATAAACAAGTTCACAGGTAAGATATTTGAAAAAAAGATTATATGAATGTTACTATGAATATTCAGCGACTTTTTGTAAGTGATCGAACTTCCATGACACGAGGATATATTCATTAATCAATTAAATAATAATATCTTGAACAATCAAATAACATTCTTATATCCTCACCTTCCATGTTCTTTGTCCGGATGGACTGGCTGAAGACTGACCAGCTTAAAACTGAAAAGATACTGCTTGAAAGCCACTGGCGTGGAGTCATCCCACAGATGACATCCTTACCTTGTCAGCTTGCTGACAGGTTTAACCTCTTTGGTCATGTGGACAAGGCGTCCGACCTCGGGTCAGAAGCTCCATGGTTCAAATCCCATCACGGGCCGCTACATGTACATATGTTGGGGAGTTATTTACCTTTAAATTAAAGTTCTGCGCCCAACTTCACATGTATGAATGAATGTATGTATGATGAGGTGAGTGATTAGAATACATATTTTAGAGTTATTGTATATACCTAATGATGTTAACATATGGATGCAATATGTTACACTGTAATTATGTATGAATATATATTATATGTTCAGGTGTGTCCCGGCAAGTCAAATTATGTATACAATGTTGGGACATCACAGGGCACAGTGCCATACACTTGGTGAGGAGCATTATAAATTGTATGTGTTAATGTTGGTTTGCACTGAAATAGAGTGTTATGTATTTATGTAATTATCACCACTTTTAATAACCTGTGTGTGTCAGTTTATTCTACGACAAATGTTCCTTGATATTTAGAGCAAACTTAGATAAAACTAATTAAAATTGATCATAGTAACGTATGTCATCATATATGATTCAAATATTTGTTAATGTTTTATAATGGAATGTTTGATTTGTATGTGTAGGAGGACACCAGTGGCCCAGTTGTCTAAGGTGCCGCGATTCACTCTGCAGAGTTGGGTCCCTTAGGGAAGCCAGAAACCTGTGATTGTGGGTTCGAACCCTGTTTCGCCCCGATTATGTTTTTAGGTTTGTCAGCTCCATACCCGTCCCCGCGGGGTTTAACTGAAGTGGTAAAGGTCTGAGACCTGCATCACTTCGGGCTTTCCTCCAATATTAAGCTGACATGCTGTGATATAACTGGAATAATGTTAAAAGCGGCGTTAAACTCATTCATTGTATGTGTAGGTATTTTGCATATTTTAAGTGTGTATTTATTTCCACAGGGCCTCGTTCGTTTATCATATCTACTAAACAACTGACATCCGAACATCAACCTGCGTTTGCGTGACGAAAGCCCGAAGTAATGCTTTTGCTAGATGTCTTCCACTTTCATGAAGCCCGTGAGCATTGGCATGGTGCTGACAAACCGAGAATCAGGCCAAATATGGATGGGATTTGATCCCATAAACATCAGATGCCGACATGACAGCAAATTGTTGCACCTATGTCCCCAAATGTAGGATAAAAAGTAAGGAAAACTTCCCTTAATTTGGTTAAATGGTGGAGTTCTGAGCTTGTGTTATGTGTATATTTTGGTATTTCAGACTCCATTCAGTCCCTGGCACTGCCATCTTCAATTATCCAAATTATCCAATTATCCTATCTAGAATATGATAAATGTCTTGGACTCATTCGCACCTTGTTTTGGAAGTGACGTCACCATTAAAAGTAAAAGTTAAAAAAACCCAACTCATTTACTGTTGCTTTCAATATGAATAATTATTAATAAAGTAATTAAAATTTCAAAACACAATGAGTTGTAAAGAATCATGACAGATGTGATTGGCTGATTGCATATTGGGTTGAGGTGCGGATACGCACCTTTTTTCAGACACCTTGTTACAAGACCACTTTCATGTGTGTTTCAACCTATGTCAGACACTTTCCTGTGTGTTTCAACCTATGTCAGACACTTTCATGTGTGTTTCAGTTCCTTGTTTCAACCTATGTAAGTCTACTTTCATGTGTTTCAGTTCCTTGTTTCAACCTATGTCAGCCACTTTCATGTGTTTCAGTTCCTTGTTTCAACCTATGTAAGTCTACTTTCATGTGTTTCAGTTCCTTGTTTCAACCTATTTCAGTCCACTTTCATGTGTTTCAGCTCCTTTTTTCAACCTATTTCAGTCCACTTTCATGTGTTTCAGTTCCTTGTTTCAACCTATTTCAGTCCACTTTCATGTGTGTTTCAGCTCCTTGTTTCAACCTATGTCAGTCCACTTTCATGTGTTTCAGTTCCTTGTTTCAACCTATGTCAGTCCACTTTCATGTGTGTTTCAGCTCCTTGTTTCAACCTATGTCAGTCCACTTTCATGTGTTTCAACACCTTGTTTCAACCAATGTCAGTCCACTTTCATGTGTGTTTCAACCTATGTCAGTCCACTTTCATGTGTTTCAGTTCCTTGTTTCAACCTATTTCAGTCCACTTTCATGTGTTTCAGTTCCTTGTTTCAACCTATTTCAGTCCACTTTCATGTGTTTCAGTTCCTTGTTTCAACCTATGTCAGCCACTTTCATGTGTGTTTCAGCTCCTTGTTTCAACCTATTTCAGTCCACTTTCATGTGTGTTTCAACCTATGTCAGCCACTTTCATGTGTTTCAGCTCCTTGTTTCAACCTATGTCAGTCCACTTTCATGTGTGTTTCAGCTCCTTGTTTCAACCTATGTCAGTCCACTTTCATGTGTGTTTCAGCTCCTTGTTTCAACCTATGTCAGTCCACTTTCATGTGTGTTTCAACCTATGTCAGCCACTTTCATGTGTTTCAGCTCCTTGTTTCAACCACAGGGATGTGAGCAGGTTTTCCGGACAAAAGAGGAAAAGTCTAGTGGGGTCTGGGGGCATGCCCCCCCAGAAATCTTTTAAACATTTGATTGCATTTTAAGCAATTTTGTGCAGTTTGGACAACATTCACACCAAGAAATGTAATAAGTCAATGGCAAAAGTCAAATAAACAAGATGGCAGATGCAGTAAAATTTCGAATTTAAATCAGTACTTTTAAAAAATCGGGCATAGCTTCCACGCACCTGGCTACCCGCCAGGTCTGGGAGCAATACTGCCATAAACTTCAACCCCCATCCCCCAGACACAAGGACAACTGTCACAAGCATGCAATGCCTGACCCTTTCCCCATGTTGAAGCATATTGAAAAAAACTTACCTTGTACTTACCTTTCGATGAAAAAAACAAAACTCCATTGCAAACATAAGACATTAATACAACATATATCCCCATGTTATGGGGTTTTGGACGCTGAAGAAACATTCATAGTTTTCTCGCTAATCACATGAACAACTGTAGAACATCTAATTCACTTACAGGCTAAAAGACAACTTTATCTTAAAAACAAGCCATCAGCTGACTCTGAGTATTTACAATTTCTGTGTGACGCCACACCCCACGATATAGTGCAAGTATTCGTGATAGAAAACGTATGATGTCCGAAAACCTATGCTGGTGAAAGCTCTGATCGAAAACAGGACAATCCGCGACGGTTTCCGGTTTTCAATCATATTTTTCGGGGTGTTTTTTTTAATTTTTTATTAAATTTTTACGCAGAAGATGATTTTTTCCGAGGACTACTATTTTAAAAAACAGGATTTTCCGGGTTTCCGCGGAGATTTCACATCACCTATGTCAGTCCACTTTCATGTGTGTTTCAGCTTCTTGTTTCAACCTATGTCAGTCCACTTTCATGTGTTTCAACACCTTGTTTCAACCTTTGTCACTCCACTTTCATGTGTGTTTCAGCTCCTTGTTTCAACCTGTCACCCACTTTCATGTGTTTCAACACCTTGTTTCAACCTATGTCAGCCACTTTCATGTGTGTTTCAGCTCCTTGTTTCAACCTATGTCAGCCACTTTCATGTGTTTCAGCTCCTTGTTTCAACCTATGTCAGCCACTTTCATGTGTTTCAGTTCCTTGTTTCAACCTATGTAAGTCTACTTTCATGTGTTTCAGTTCCTTGTTTCAACCTATTTCAGTCCACTTTCATGTGTTTCAGCTCCTTTTTTCAACCTATTTCAGTCCACTTTCATGTGTTTCAGTTCCTTGTTTCAACCTATTTCAGTCCACTTTCATGTGTGTTTCAGTTCCTTGTTTCAACCTATGTCAGTCCACTTTCATGTGTGTTTCAGCTCCTTGTTTCAACCTATGTCAGTCCACTTTCATGTGTGTTTCAACCTATGTCAGCCACTTTCATGTGTTTCAGCTCCTTGTTTCAACCACAGGGATGTGAGCAGGTTTTCCGGACAAAAGAGGAAAAGTCTAGTGGGGTCTGGGGGCATGCCCCCCCAGAAATCTTTTAAACATTTGATTGCATTTTAAGCAATTTTGTGCAGTTTGGACAACATTCACACCAAGAAATGTAATAAGTCAATGGCAAAAGTCAAATAAACAAGATGGCAGATGCAGTAAAATTTCGAATTTAAATCAGTACTTTTAAAAAATCGGGCATAGCTTCCACGCACCTGGCTACCCGCCAGGTCTGGGAGCAATACTGCCATAAACTTCAACCCCCATCCCCCAGACACAAGGACAACTGTCACAAGCATGCAATGCCTGACCCTTTCCCCATGTTGAAGCATATTGAAAAAAACTTACCTTGTACTTACCTTTCGATGAAAAAAACAAAACTCCATTGCAAACATAAGACATTAATACAACATATATCCCCATGTTATGGGGTTTTGGACGCTGAAGAAACATTCATAGTTTTCTCGCTAATCACATGAACAACTGTAGAACATCTAATTCACTTACAGGCTAAAAGACAACTTTATCTTAAAAACAAGCCATCAGCTGACTCTGAGTATTTACAATTTCTGTGTGACGCCACACCCCACGATATAGTGCAAGTATTCGTGATAGAAAACGTATGATGTCCGAAAACCTATGCTGGTGAAAGCTCTGATCGAAAACAGGACAATCCGCGACGGTTTCCGGTTTTCAATCATATTTTTCGGGGTGTTTTTTTTAATTTTTTATTAAATTTTTACGCAGAAGATGATTTTTTCCGAGGACTACTATTTTAAAAAACAGGATTTTCCGGGTTTCCGCGGAGATTTCACATCACCTATGTCAGTCCACTTTCATGTGTGTTTCAGCTTCTTGTTTCAACCTATGTCAGTCCACTTTCATGTGTTTCAACACCTTGTTTCAACCTTTGTCACTCCACTTTCATGTGTGTTTCAGCTCCTTGTTTCAACCTGTCACCCACTTTCATGTGTTTCAACACCTTGTTTCAACCTATGTCAGCCACTTTCATGTGTGTTTCAGCTCCTTGTTTCAACCTATGTCAGCCACTTTCATGTGTTTCAGCTCCTTGTTTCAACCTATGTCAGCCACTTTCATGTGTTTCAGTTCCTTGTTTCAACCTATGTAAGTCTACTTTCATGTGTTTCAGTTCCTTGTTTCAACCTATTTCAGTCCACTTTCATGTGTTTCAGCTCCTTTTTTCAACCTATTTCAGTCCACTTTCATGTGTTTCAGTTCCTTGTTTCAACCTATTTCAGTCCACTTTCATGTGTGTTTCAGTTCCTTGTTTCAACCTATGTCAGTCCACTTTCATGTGTTTCAGTTTCTTGTTTCAACCTATGTCAGTCCACTTTCATGTGTGTTTCAGCTCCTTGTTTCAACCTATGTCAGTCCACTTTCATGTGTGTTTCAGTTCCTTGTTTCAACCTATGTCAGTCCACTTTCATGTGTTTCAACACCTTGTTTCAACCTATTTCAGTCCACTTTCATGTGTGTTTCAACCTATGTCAGTCCACTTTCATGTGTGTTTCAGCTCCTTGTTTCAACCTATGTCAGTCCACTTTCATGTGTGTTTCAGCTCCTTGTTTCAACCTATGTCAGTCCACTTTCATGTGTGTTTCAGTTCCTTGTTTCAACCTATTTCAGTCCACTTTCATGTGTGTTTCAACCTATGTCAGTCCACTTTCATGTGTGTTTCAACACCTTGTTTTAACCTATGTCAGTCCACTTTCATGTGTTTCAGCTCCTTGTTTCAATCCGTCAGTCCACTTTCATGTGTGTTTCAGTTCCTTGTTTCAACCTATGTCAGTCCACTTTAATGTGTTTCAGCTCCTTGTTTCAACCTATGTCAGTCTGCTTGCATGTGTTTCACTTCACGACTTGTGTTGTGAGGATACACCTTTTTGAAATGCTGTATCAGTCGTACCCTGAGATTGTCATTCCTGCGTTCAATCTCTGGTTTGCCTCATGACACTATAAATGAAGAGCAGTCACAATGCAGGTGCAATATTGCCAACTGTTGTGCTATCCAACAATCACTCACTACAGGTTTAGGGGTGGTAGGGTAACCTAGTGTTACAGTGACCGCCTCCGTGGTCTTGTGGTAGAGCGTCCGCCCGGAGAGCGGAAGGTCCAGGGTTCGATCCCGGGCCGCGTCATACAAAAAGAGGTTAAAAGATTGTACTTGTTGTTACCCTGTCTGGCGCTCGGCATTAAGGGGCTAAAACAAGGACTGGTCGGCTCGGAGTCAGTATACTGTGTCTGAGTGGGGTATTCATGTTAAACTGCGGCATGGTATCTCAGTGAGCTAGCACTATAAATCGGCATCAGTCCAGACTAGTACAAGCAGCCACACACACACATACACGTGCATGCACGTCGCTATATAAGTGCAATAATCTTGGACGCGACGTTAAACCCAATTTCACCTCACCTCACCTAGTGTTACAGTGTTCGCTCGACACGGCAGGCCCAGGTTTGATTCCCCACATGGGTGGAATGTGTGATTTCTGATGTCCCCCCGGCGTGATATTGCTGGAATATTGCTAAAAGCATCGTAAAACCATACTCACTCACTCATTGCAGGTTTATCCTGTGGGGATTCTTTGAGGTGGTGGAATATTGCCATGTCAGATTAATTATATTCATATGAAACATTAGGGTGTTCTTCAACTTCTTTTGAGTAGTATACAGGGTTTTATCCAGATCTGCTTATGGCCGATATTCCGCCCCAAGTCTACCTTCATATTTATTCCAATTCCAAAGAAACAAATGGAAAACCCAAATGTATTGTATGATACCCACTGCTGCCAGTGATTTCTTAAAGTGAGGCCCTACTGAGATGGCTGAAGGAACATGTTCACTAGCAGCATATTAAACAGTTTTTGATAAGGTGCCACAGACTTTAAAACAAATCTCAGACACTACCTACCACTGGATTGGGATGCGAGTATTTTAAGGTAGTTTCAACTGCTTTTCAAGAAGGATGTTGTGAGTTAGGTATAACAGTATCCCAGTCATCTCATGGTGTGTTAGCTCAATGTGGGAGGAAAGCCTCCCGAGAGATGCAGATCTCAGACGTTTGCTACTTTGGTGAAAACCATGAGCACGGATATCATGTTGACAAACTAAGAAACATATTAGGGGCGAGCCTACAATCATAGTTTCTGGCATGTCCAAGGATGGAAAAAAGAGATACTTTGTAGACATATCAGCTTCAGTGGCGATTTGGCTATCAAATCAGAAGTTTCAAATCACAATAACCATAAGTTACCTGTAACCTACTCTACCCCGGAACCTCCATGGGGCAGAGCATATCAGGGTACCTCTGGCATCCAGCCAACTCAACATGATCAAGTCCTGACCAGAGCAATACTGACTGTGGAAATATAGTGTAATCCACCACACACACAAAAATAGCCATGGTGAACATTTTAGTATTATTTATTCTCCGATAGAAATGGACAAAACTGACAGAAACTGAAGCACATAGTACACCATCACTACCACACCCACCTTCCAAATTAATATTTCAATCATCTGAAACAAAACATAAAGGCATTTTAGAATAAAAAATTATTTTAAGAAAAAATTAAAAGATTTGAATTTGTGTCAACTCAAACTGTTGCAATGAAAACTAATTGCTAATAATGTATCACTGTTCCAATTATTTCATATTATTCCTCTGAATAAAAATAATCTGCTGTCTTCAAAACAAATTCTTTCAGGTGAAATAAGGAAAAACAGATTAGCAACAGTGGTTTTGATGTACAGAATACTGTGTAATTCTTTTCAGCACAAACCTGTTTGTATGACAACCTATTTCGTACACTATCAAATCCCCACTACAGTGAGAGAAGGATCTTGCCTCTTTGTTCACCTTAGCATGAGAGAAAACACCACTGTCATAAACCCCCCAAGCATGAATATGGTAGTGACTACAGAAGGGGGTAATTAACTCAGAGAAAACAAGGCTTTAGTAAATGAAATCAATTTATGGACCAAACTTTCCTTGGAAAGATGGTCTTATAAGTAAACCCAGTGTATGATCAATGCTGCTTCCTTTTTTTCAATCGTTGTCTGAGATATCTTTAACATCAACTGTGAATATGAAACATATTCTAACATTTTGATCCAGATGTATGAGAATATTGAGGTTCCTAATCCCAAATTTCTTTTTGAGTGAGGAGATTAACTGTTTTGCTGCTTGCAACATTTCTGGATCAACATCGCACATCAGTAGACATTAATAATGAGCATCACACACTGCACCGAGACAAACCCAAATACTTGTCTTCAGAATGAGAACACTTGGACCACAGTTGCCTCTCATGAGCAACTAAACCTTTTAACAACCGAAAAACCATTTTTTCACCTCTCATATTTCCTAAATTCTATAAAACATGAATATTGCTATGACTTGAATGAACATTCCTTGGTGGGTTTTACCCATGGTATCGAGACCCCATTTTCTTCTGTGGTCTTGAGTGAGTGAATAATGTTTATAGCCGCATCAACAATAACACAACTGTCACAGCTGCTGTGGTCTAAGACACAGACAACAGTACATTCACAGCCAATACATTTCCAAAATAACACACAAAAGAAAGATACTTGTGTATTTAGTTTGCATTACATCTTCTATGTCAACGCATAATCATACATCTCTTGACAGTTCAATTCTCGATGATAAAACTATTTCACTAAATTCTAATACAATCTATCGAACATTTCATACAAAGCAATGGTATTTTGTTATACATAAAGCTATATCAAACTTGAAATGGATAATTTTCAATGTAATACTGCTTTGCACAATATATGTTCCTGCAAAAGGCTCATATATTTTGTCATTTTGCCAAGACGTTAATACAAGTGCTGTATTTGGGACTTAATTTCATCTCTAGTCAACACAACAATGTTAATCTTCCTAATGGGACTAAAATTATGAATATTCCATTTGAATTGTCTTGTTAAGCAAGTGTTTCTACAAAAACTTCTGACTTGAGTGCAAAAAAAGAGCTACGCGTGTCACTTCATGTATTTACAAATATCCCACAAATATATAACAAATGTATACACCCATGAAAGACCAATATCTCAGCTTTCAAACACACTGAAAGCATCAACTACTTTCAAAGCAGAAATTTAAGTCTCATATAATCAAAACAATATATACATACCGTTAAAACCCCTTTAACTCCGAAACAGGGAACCACATTCAGCTGAATGCAGGAGACTACTCTATACAAATTGAGTATTGGAAAATACCTCCACCTGACCATTACAGTAGCTGAAGGCATCATAAACTTAAGTCTAGAATTAACGAAAAAAGTTGTTCATGTTTTCTTAGACACCGACACACAACTTCCTTCAATAAACACTGAAACAGATATTACACATGCCCTTGACAGCATAATCAAATGTATGTCTGTATAGGTGATCAAAACAAGGTAACTTCAGGACAGTATACATTCAACTTTAGGCAGTATCTATTTCAGGTGTAGCACACTTAAATTAAAACTATACACAACAACCACATGTACACAATAACATTATACAAGGATTACCTTATCATGATTACCAACTGAAAGTTACTATCAATCCCTCATTCAAATGTGGTAATGGCTTTCAATTGAAAAATGAATAATATCATTGATCAAGCGTATAGTTTTCTCAATTCAATTAACACTGGATCTGCACTCACAATAGATATCTGTTCTCATTGTAATCAATCTAAGGATCTTTTTTTACATGGAATAACTATCCTTGGTACAAGCACTGTTGTGACTGCAAATCCTGTATCACGTCCCGTGAATGCCCGTTTGTGTGCAGAAGTGATCTAAATGAGGCGGTATTGTCGGATGTGGCCAGCCACCCGATTCCACTCGTATTTGACCCGCACATACTGGATTGAACCTCTGATGAACAGCAGAAATCCTGAAATTGTAGAAAATGTCACTAAATTATCAATCACATTGCATGTGAATTCTCTTGTCATCTGAATTACACCATGTTTAACATTGGCTAATATATGAACAGAAGGTCACTCTCACACAGGGAAGTATTACTTCCCTGTAGTCACAGATGATGAAAAATGAATTCCACAAATCCTTGACGGTCACATTAATGTATGGTGTGGAGTGAAATGGAGGGTAATGTCGCAGTCAAAGAGTTTGGCCCTTATATAGCGACATATAGTGTGTGTGTTCGTGTGGCTAATTGTACTAGTTCAGACTAACGCCGGTTTTTCGTGCTTGCCTAAAAGATACCCCACTCCAGAGACATTATACGGACTCTGAGCGAGTCCTTGTGTTAACTCCTTATTGCCGAACACCAGACAGGAAAACAACAAGTGTCATCTTTTGATATGATGCCAGGGAGGACTGAACCACAGATATTCCAACTCTCCGCTAGAACTCGGAGGAGGTCGCTTCTTATGACAAGCATAGGTGGTTGGGAACAAAATCTCACAGTTTACTTTCTATATGACAGTCTCTGGATAGACAATAGAGAGATGTATCTACCACTATATTGAGATGTGTGCACTCACCGCAGATGACAAGGATCCACCACAACCATGAGTCCCCAGATGCGAAGTCCTGCGCCCAGTTATTGTGCTGTAACAGAGTTATGTCCCTTTAGTGGATATTGAATAAGCTTCACATATGTCAGGAAGCTGGAAAAACTCCCCTCATAAACGAAACATGTCATCCAACCAATGCACTGTTCTCATCTAAAAGTTGTAATCTCTTCAGCAAGATTTTTCAGCCATATTGTCAAACCATTTACATCCCGACTGACTCATTACATCAACCAAGTGATACCATGTAACATGACCATGGTTTATACAAACTCAAAATTTAAGACTTTTCAAGGCTATAAATAAAAAAATTCAAAGCTGAAGGTGAAAACCAGTGTGCTTCCATTTTACAAATCTGACATCTGATCGATGTTCATGTTTATGCAGAGATCTTGTACCAGAAAAAAATCTGATTTTAATGACATTATTAAAATATAGCACGTCCCTTTAACATAACATTTGTTAAAAAAAAGTCTTGTTTTTGTGTGTGACATACCTTGACAATGGCGACCCACTTGACAATGGAGAGTCCCAGGCCGGCCAAAGCACCACAGCGGCCTGCCACAGTGTTTGAAATACACAGGGACAGGAGGAAGCCGATCCAGTTGAACAGGAAGGCAACTGACAACATCAACATGGCCACACTGAGATTGAAATACAACTTTCTCCCATAATTCCTTCACTTTTATGGATATACATTACTAAAATGTCATCATTATGTCAGCTATGTGATCCTCAAACAGCAGTTTCAGCTCTAACCTTTGTCACAGCTGGCCTATATTTAAGAACAATGTTGTTAAATATTAATGATCAATAACATTAATTACCTACTTTATTGTTGACATACACAAAATAATCAAAAGTCTTTTCACAAATCTAGTTTCTCAACTACCATAACATATAAAAAAAACACACATCCTTTTGTTCATAAAATGATTATCACTGATTTGAATAAATAGATTCTGGTTGAAAGAAACAAAGGGTCTGTTTCAATGGGTTTCTGCAGATAATCAGCAAGGTAAAATATGTTCACAGAACAATATTACTCACTGACAAAAGTACAGATGAACATGCCATCCGTTCCAATTGTCATGTCCGTGAATCGGTCCTGAGTCTGAAACAAAAAAAGTTTGTTGTGAAAGAAAGCCATCATCTGAGCTGCTAACTGAGACACCCGGAGACGAGAGTACATTCAGGGATTTATCTGGGAGTGCCCTTGACAGACATATAGGGAAAATATGATACTTTTGCAAATTGTAAAGTTTACATTAAACTCTGTATTTTATTCATATTGTATCACACATTATGGATTTCTTTTGATCCGCATTTGAAAACATGACTGAGCAAAGTTTCCAGCTTTTCTCCCAAACACATCCCAGCATCGCCATGGTCACCACCCAAACAAATGGGTCACATACTGTAATCCTGTGCGTTGTGACCTATCACCAACCAATCACCTGACTGCCCCTGCCACATCATTCTCTTTCTGCGAGCTGTCAGGCTAGAGGAGCTATGATGTGGGGATGGAAGGGAGAGCACTGTGCGTGTGAGACAGGATAAGCATCATAAATATACAATTTAATGTAAAATTTACACATTTTTAAACTTATCCTATCTCACACTATGCTTTTTCCCCACAATTGGACGGTGAAAAACGTGAAATGTACACGAGGAAGCTGGTGCAAACAATAAGCTATAACACTGTCTAGTATCGTAGGGACAAGACCTTGTGAGTGGGTAAAAACACCATAACATGAGATTTCCATATTGAAGACTGGAGTCATGACAGACAAAGTGTCTCACCCTCCACTGGGTACTCAGTCTAGGAACCCAAATAATGACAATAAACAAAAGAAAGGACCTTCCAATGATTATTCTGTATGTACAGGATACAGAGTACTGACCTTAAATAGCTGATACAAGGAAGAAGAACAGTCAACATGGTCAAGTGTCGTCAAAATATCTGAGAAATTCAAAATAAATTGGGGAATTTTTACTGTCATTTGCTGCAGTCTTTGGGCCGAATATCCGCCTCTCAGCAACTCCAGATAAATCCCTGATATTGCTTTCTAGAAGCGGAGTTCCGGATACCGACTATTAACCTAGAATGAGGGTGTAATGACAGGGAGCTGTACTGGGGGTGGGGGTGGGGGTGGGGGTGGATGTAGGGGACATTTCACATCCTTGTCAAACATTTCAAAGCCAGCCCGGCACCGACATTTGACAGTGAAACTTCGCATTTCATCCAAAATAACTATTACACTATTACTAGATGTGAGGTGAAATTGGGTTAAACGTCGCGTCCAAGATTATTGCACTTATATAGCGACGTGCATGCACGTGTGTGTGTGTGTGTGTGTGTGTGTGTGTGTGTGTGGCTGCTTGTACTAGTCTGGACTGATGCTGATTTATAGTGCTAGCCCACTGAGATACCATGCCGCAGTTTAACATGATTACCCCACTCAGACACAGTATACTGACTCCGAGCCGACCAGTCTTTGTTTTAGCCCCTTAATGCCAAGCGCCAGACAGGGTAACAACAAGAATCATCTTTTAACGTCTTTAGGTATGACACGGCCGGGGATCAAACCCCGGACCTTCCGCTCTACCACTAGACCACGGAGGCAGTCACTATTACTAGAATAATTTTATTAATATAAATGCCAACTTTATCTGATTTCCTTATATATTTTCTGCAAATAAAGTTCAAATAAGCCTCACCTCGCAGTACAGATGGGATATATGAATTTTCATTGACTTTGAAGGGGGATCTCCTTATTGAAGGCAATATATGGAAAACCCAATATGGCAAATGCCAAGACATCTATTATTAGTGGCTGTGTGAAATTGAAGGTAGACTATCATTGGAATAAGAAGTTGAAGAAAACGACATAAAAGTCGTAAAAAGTTCACTCGACTATTTACAGTTATTAAGGGGCAAAAGCTAGCAAAACGTTTAACAGAAAAGATCAAGTTCCAGTATGGCTCCATTTCTATATCCAAATACATTGTAATAATATTCAAGAATACTAGTGTCACAGTGTCATTTATGGATTCATCTACAGACAACTCTCTTGCTACATGATGTCATCATACACTCTAAGAGGAAAAATAATTTATACAATATAGATCAAAAACTATATTCACTGGACCTTTTTGTAAATGGCGTAATTGCAGCACTAAAACAATTTCTAAAATTTATAAATAGCAAAAGGCAACAATTCAGCATGTGTCTGATAGATGTGGAAAATTTCATCTGGAATGGAACCCTACCCTTATTGTTTTCTATGTCCAACGTGTTGCCTGGGAAATGTAAAAAATATAAATTTCTAAAATTCCTAAATAGCAAAAGGCACCAGTTCAGCATGAGTCTGATAGACATGCAAAGGTTCGTAGAGAAATATTTAACGGTTTCTGAGTAATGCACACACTGAACCCATTTCAACATCCCCCGCCAACTTCTTTGGGGTGGGGGATAATATAAAATATGAGGCCTTCTCAAGACTGAAGTCCTAAATTCAAGTCTTTCTAAGCCTGCGCAAACCTTGAACATGTTGAAGCATGTCGATACAGCCATTACAGGCACCTGTTCCCCATGTTGTTTGCTGTTCAGGAAAGAATGAGTGAGTGAACGTTGTTTAACCCTGCAGTCATTAATACTTCAACATTATAACAGCAGCCTAGTAATAATGTCCTCTGGACCAGACAACCCAGGGAGCGATAGCTTGAGCAATGATCCCAACTATCAGAGCAAGATGACATGCAATCAGCCATACAACCCAATGCTCTTAAGCGGACTCTTACGGCAATTGAGTGAGTGAGTGGGCAATAATCCAGGAACACTACAGGAGACACCAGAAATTGGCTTCACACATTACCATGTGGGTCAATCGAACCTGAACCACTAGGCTATCCCCCTGGCCCTTGTAGCTCAAACACAAGATAGATAGCACCAAAGTTTCCTCAGAATGTACATGGGGCTATTGTGGTTGGAGGGACCTATTCTATCAGCTATTGCCGTAACGTACAGGGTCTCTCTGTCCTTCTTCGTCCAGCCTCTGGATCTCCTCCTGCTTTGTCCTCTCCGCCTCCTCGTAGGACGGTAGAGTTGTGGCATCCACGTAGGATGGCAGCTTAGTCTCCCCGTACACAGCAGGATCTGAAAACAGAACAAGATGCAGGTCTCAACATCAAATACATACTGGAAACAGAAACAATGTTGTATCAAGTCCAGATCATTTAAATTCATTGTTCTACCGTAAAATCCAATTCAGCATAATTCAAGCAGAGCAAATAGTCACATAGAACTTATTTACACAAGGGTACAAAGTATTCCATATCTGCCACAATGGTGGAAAATACTTGTCTTAAATAAAGACATGACAATTGTCATTGAAACTAAAACAAATCACAAAACAATCAAACAGCACCTGTTCACCACTAGACCCATCTATGTGCCAAGTTTGGTGAAGAAATACTGTATTCAACGTAATAAGTGCCCAGGGCGCTCTCAAAATTAGAAATAGGGGGCTCTTACTAACTATTATTTTGGTGAAAGATAAATATCGTGGTTTATGGTGACAGCCTGAAATGTTTATGTATGACAGATATATTTTCCCAGAATTTAATTGCCCATAATTAAGGATGCATAACACACAAGTGTGTATTATACGCGAATAAATAAGTCTTGTGTACATCGATTAATCGGAAGTGGTGCTAATTGGGATTGTTCACCAGCCAATATATCACCAAATATCACTGTTGGCGCTTATTACGTCGAATATGGTATTGTACGTTTTCAAGATCTGCTCCAGAAACAAGAAATACTGCTATTTCCAACCTAGGCCAAAAGTGTAACCATGGAAACTCATAAAATTAATTTTTAAAAACTTTGTTTATATCAAAAGGCACCAGTCCACCACTAGACCTATCTACAGTGATCCATGTGCCATGTTGGCTGAAGAAATATTGTGTGTTTTTCTGCTCAGGAAACGACATCATGCATGAACAGAAGGAAAATGTCCATTTTTAATACCCCTGCAAATCTTTTTGTGGGAGAAGCTACTTGTCCAAATGATAAGAACAGGGTCTATCTATTTGTGCTTCCAGCGGACCCTAAGTATTGTGTCCTTGGCATGAGTAAGGGGACCCCAACAATATGTTTAGGCCTTAAGACTCGACAACATAAGGACAAGTATGTACATATCCAAGGCTGTAAGATCTCCCTGTACATCAGATACTGTGTCTTCAGTATATTAACAATTTAACATGAGTACTGTGTCAGGAGTCCATGCATGCATTTATCTAAAATGTCCTTGGTAGACAAATTGAGAACATAACGGTGTTCAAAATTAGGATTTTTGTAAACTTGAGAGGTATGTTAACATTTCATTCAATGCAAAAATGTCGAAATAAACAATAAAGATTCACCTTGTTAATTGGTCCTGTTATGCAAGTCATCTTTGCAAAGCAATAACTAGTTATTACTGTAGGAAAATGATGTGGCAAATTACATTTCCAAGTTGGGAATTTTTGCTGACATTTTCTACACTTTTATAAAAGTTATTCCAAACAATCTAACATACTATCATATGTTCATTGTTTCCATGATAATAGCATAAACATATTTCTGTTTTTACGCTGATAGTAGATCCAAACATGCATGATAAACATAATCACTTTGAGCCTTGAGACAGGGGCCTGCCACAACGTGTACAACTCTATTATACCATGAATGAAAGCTTTTATACACACACAACAGCAACTGAATCTGATGGCCACTGAAGCTTTTGTACACAAAGGTACACTGTCACAGTAACACATGGCTATAACAAACACAAACATAATCATGCCAATGCACAAACAGCATCAAACAAGGTAACTATTGTATTTTAATTTAGGAGGGACTACTGGGTAGTTGTTTTTTCACCTTATCTAGTTATTTTAACTAAAACCACTAGTCAGGAATGAGCTGTGGACTAGTTGGATATGACCAATGACGTCTAGCACTGGTTAACAGTTATTACCAACTGTTTCTATGTCTGAGTCTCAACTGCTTGACCATGTTTACTATACATTAGTAAATACAATGCATTTTTAAAACATTTGATTGCATTTTAAGCAATTTCGTGCAGTTTGGACAACATTCACACCAAGAAATGTAATAAGTCAATGGCCAAAGTCAATAAGTCAAATAAACAAGATGGCAGATGCAGTAAAATTTCGAAGTTATATCAGTACTTTTATAAAATTGGGCATAGCTTTCGCGCACCTGGCAACCCGCCAGGTCTGGGAGCAATACTGCCATAAACTTCAACCCCCATCCCCCAGGACAACTGTCACAAGCATGCAATGTCTGACCCTTTCCCCATGTTGAAGCATATTGAAAAAAACTTACCTTGTACTTACCTTTTGATGAAAAAAACAAAACTCCATTGCAAACATAAGACATTAATACAACATATATCCCCATGACATGGGGTTTTGGACGCTGAAGAAACATTCATAGTTTTCTCGCTTATCACATGAACAACTGTAAAACATCTCATTCACTTACAGGATTAAAAGACAACTTTATCTTAAAAACAAGCCATCAGCTGACTCTGAGTATTTACAATTTCTGTGTGACGCCACACCCCACGTTATAGTGCAAGTATTCGTGACAGAAAACGTATGATGTCCGAAAACCTAAGCTGTGAAAGCTCTGATCGAAAACAGGACAATCCGCGCCAATTGTCCGGTTTTCGATCATATTTTTTGGAGTGTTTTTTTTTTAAATTTTATTAAATTTTTACGCGGAAGATGTTTTTTTCCCGAGGACTACTGTTTTAAAAAACGCGATTTTCCGCGTTTCCGCGGAGATTTCACATCCCTGCAGATAGCAAATGATGTTTCACCCCACACTGATCTAAGAAAACAATCAATATTTTCTTACATGAGTAACAGACTGGTCAGTGTAGGGTCACCATCAGGGCGAATCAAACAATGTAACATAATTATTTCATAATCACCACTAATTATGTTTTAACTTATTTCATGAAATGCATCACAAAGTACATGATGGAAACTGAGCATGACATGATTAATGGAAAATAAGAATGAAATCAGCTGAAGGAGCTGACCTGTCATAATTCCATTGTCATCAAATACTCACCTGACTGAGATACAGTATTTTCCTGATACGGGGGAGGAGGGATTACCATCGCCATGGCAACTGGCTGAGCTGGAAGTTGTTCCTCCTCACCAACCAACTAGAAGGAAAGGTGATGATTATCGATGGGCAAAATGGCTCACTTTACATGTCGTGGCACATTGATTATTTACCAGTTGTTTACGGTGAAGTAGCAAAATAGAACATGATTGTAAGAAGTTAGAATGTTAAAAAATTCTGTTCCCCCAAAAAAGTATTGAAAGCATACAAGACCTTTTTAACAGTTTTTCATTTTTTCAATTGAATGTGTCTAATTCTTTCAAGTGTAACTAAGCATTGATGATAAGTGTGCAATAACTGGCTTCTCAACCAAACGAACAGTTGAGGGTTCACCTCATATCACAGTATTATACACTTATGCATGTGTACTATCGATATCAGAGTACATATCCAACACATTTACCATCAGTTGGAAAAAAGTCTGGGTTTTGGTGATTAGTGCAGTTGTTGTATCTGCTGTACATATTTATTTTATTCTGTTGTTCATGGAAACAAATTGAAACTTTGAACCAAAAATGTTTTCAAGAACTTGTCTACTTGAAAATAAAAAAACCAAACATCACCTCAAAATCATATGTATAAAATACCACCAAATATGTTGATGATTATGTTCAGACTACCTTAGAAGGAAAAAACATTAACTAACAATGATGTTTTGTGGGATATAATGGGCAGAGCGTGGATGATGCAGGCGGAGGCGATAAGCATTTTGGCTCCCACTGTACATGCTGTAGCTAGCAGGCAGCTAAAGTATCGTACACACACCAGCATCCCCCAACTGCACCATGCCCACTGTACCAAATTTATTGAAATAAGATAACAGCAATAAGAACGATACATTTATAAACAACTTGATAATTCATGATACAATGATGTTCTTCACTGTGGAGAAGGCACAACCTGAATTGGGGTGGTTTTGGGTGGGGGGTGAAGAGGTGAAATCGCTAATCGCCGGAGGCGTTGTGTTGTAGGATGACTTGAAGGTTAGGGGGTAAAAGTTGTGACGTCATAAGACCAAGGGTAGTGACGTCATGGAAGAAATGATGTATGGTTGCTATGAGGAGTATTTATAGCATTGTTTTAGCGGGGTATTGTGAAAAGTGAATGTTTGTAAACAAATGGTAAAAGGGGATAGTTACTAGTATTTATTATGTGGAGCTGACCACAAACAGATTTAGCTAAATAAGCTAAATCTTATTATAGGGCCAATTTTTACATTATGAAATAGTTTGTGATAGTGTGCTGAAAGGGTAATACTTGGATTACCATACTATGATCTGTGTTTATCCGTGACATGATCACTGATGGATCTAGCCCACACACAACATGGATATTGGCACAGATTGGCACATAATATCCCTAAATAACAACTTCTACGTTCTGCTAAATTCATTCACTTATGACGCCACCAGAATCTGGAATTTGCTGCCAAAAGATTTACGAAAAGCTAAATCATATAAATATTTCTTCAGACTTCTTTGGAAATAGTCAGACCCCACCCAAATGCTCTCTATAATATAAATATTATATAGGATTCTCCACTATGATTTCGCTTTAACTATATAACTGTAAAAATGTTTCAGCTTCTATGTACATGTCAGCATCCTAGTTGATGATTATATATTTCTTCTCTTAAAACTGTTTTGTCAGAATGAGTGCTCCAATGAGCTAATGTTTTATTCTTACCCGTAATAACTGATGTTAAACAAAATTTCTTCTGTTTTGGATAATGACGATAAAAGACAACCCAGTCTAGTAGTTTCAAAAGGTTTTTGAATCTGAGTGACGTTCCCAACTTAAATATCGTAAATTATTCATCGTTATACTCCGATTATTTACTAGATATATTCCGAATGACATATTTTACTCCGATCTGTTATCCCTGACCTGCCCAAACTCGGGTTTGTACACATTCACATTGTTTCGGTAACTAACTTATTTGAAAATGCATTGTCACCATGTTAACGTCAAATACAGCAAGCAACGAAGCACATAAGGTGATGCCTAGTCAAAGATAAACAGATCGAGATAAACAGTCTGAACCATGTCAAATGGGTTTTCTGACTTGTCACAAATGTGGATAGGCCTACCACATCGAAAGAAATCCAAAGTCATATCCGCTAAATCTTCATTACATTACTTTGGTGTCGTGAAATACAACTTACCACTTCATATCTAACATTTCGTTCCATTTTGAAAATGGATCTCGATTTCCTTGATCCGTAAATATTACTTCAAGATTGACGATGTTCGTCAGACTGCCGAAGTACAAACAAATATGGCGACAAGCACCTGCCCTGTTACCTTTGTAACGAGCCTTTTGATTGGTTATTGTATACAGTTTCACACCCTGTTGCGCATGAGCTTCCTAAACTTCCGGCCCAGCTCTCAGCAAACTGGCATGACGAAGCACGTGAACATATCTTATCATATGTTGATATTTAATCATTTATAAGTGGTCCAGACAGTTTGCAAAATATCTCAGAGATGAAATTATTACATAAGTTACAAATGTAAATGAAATCGCATCAATTAGATACAATATATGCTTCGCTTGTGATGAAACCCAAGGGCGAAAGCAGTATGAAATGAAGAATTTTAGGCCTTGTGTTGACTTATAGTGATAGTATAGGCGATGTCGGCCTTGGACTGAGCCATTATCAATTGATGATATGAAATTTCTTCGCAAATGGGCAATTATAGCAAAAAGAAATTCAGGTGTGTACAAGGAAGAATTTTAAGACATGTGAAATGTTAATGGAAGCTTGTTTTGACAATATTTGCTTTTAACATGTTTAAATCAAAATGCATTGTAAGGTGAACTGGAATTTACTCATGTGTTTTAAAATCCTTTTTTCAGATTCTTGCTGTTTTGAAGGAAATACATTGGACATAAAAATAGTTAAAACATTTTTATCGTTGGTGTAGTTATTTCGGATTGGTCTCTCGGTGTTAGCTAGGTGAGTTGCTTAATGAGGTGAATAGATTTGCAGTGTGTGTACAAAACTACAAGTACACAATTTTGTTTTCGTCATCATGCCAATAGAAGCCAGACATTTAGTTGTTGTTGGGCTAACCAGTGGATCTTTTCGATAGTTGAGATATATCCTAACATCAACACGTTCGTGAGAGTATTACTGCTTAAGAACATAAAATCCATGTTGATATAGATCTATAAGGAAGTGATTATAAGTTAAAGAAAATTCTTATTTCAAACTTTATATCATACATAACAGTAACATGGGTGGGTGCTTCAAATACTAGTTTTATTGTGGATAAACATTATTTTGGTAACGCTGACTTGGTGTTCTGGTTATTATAGGTGCCTCACACTAAAGAGTACTGTGGGTTCGAATCAAGGATGGGTCTCAACCCCCAAAACGTACCAGAATTTGTACTTTACTAAGAAGTGAAAATGGGGTTTAACGTCGCGTTCAAGATTATTGCACTTATAAAGCGACGTGCATACACGTGTGTGTGGCTGCTTGTACTAGTCCGGACTAATGTCGATTTTATATCTCAGCCCACTGAGATACCTTCCGCAGTTTAACATGAATATCCACTCAGACCCCACAGTATACTGAGTCCGAGCCGACCAGCCCGTTTTAGCCCCTTAATGCCGAGTGCTAGGCAGAGTAACAACAAGTACCATCTTTGAACGTCTTTTGGTTTAACGCGGCTGGGGATCAAGCCCCTCGACCATCCGCTCCCGTAAACGCCCTACCACAAGATCACGGATACTGTCATGTACTAAGAAAATGTAATCCCAAATACAACATTTGTTACATTTGACCTCTTTCTAAAATGCATTGTGAATTCATAGCTTTCGGCAATGGGAGCCGTACCAATTTACGCTTGTCGGAAGGGTACACAAAGTACGTGATCTAGACTACCACTTGTCGGACTTCAATTTGTGTGGAAGCCTCCGTGGCTGTATTGTCAGATCGATGACTTTGTATGCTGGCGATTAGTGCCTCACTCTGATTTGTTTGTTGTTTAACGCCACAATCAGCAATATTCCAGCTATATGACCCCGGTCTGTAAATAATCGAGTCTGGACCAGACAATGCAGTGACTCATATTATGAGCATCGATCCACTCAATTGGGATTCGATGACATGCATCAACCAAGTATAGCGAGCCTGACCACACGATCCCGTTAGTCGCCACTTTCGACAAGCATTGTCGCCTCTTACCACAAGCATAGTTGCGTCTTTCGACAAGCGTGGGTAGCTGAAGACCTATTCTAATCCGGATCTTCACGGGTGCCTCTACTCGAGGAACTTTTTAAAAAGAAATTAATCAACTAGCTTTACGCCAGTATAACTTCTTAATATACCAGGTCAAGTAATGGAAAAGCATCTGGTGGCACCACTATCCCAAGTGTATTTGAAACTATCAGTCCCTCAAAGGATCTACCCATATCTAAAAATAAAACGTCAATGCAAGGGAACAACCAGCCCCGACCATTCGTCAAAACAGTCTCAAGTGGGTATAAAAGGCAAAACAGCGGTGAAAACTATACCGAAAATCAGCTAACACTAGGAGCCCGCAAACGGGACAAGCAGGCAAACGGAAGTTTACGAAAGCTGATTGGCAGAATTTGAATACTATGTGATGTGATGAGTTGAAATCTGATACTTTCATTCATGTCTTGGATCAGATTAAAACATTTTTAAAACTCGATATCCACCCAGAATAATTACTGGAGGTGATGGTATGAAACAAGATAAATATAAGAGCTGGAAACATTTGGTTTACAAAATATATTCACGCACTTCGCTTATGCCCCCTTCACACACACGGATTTTTCTTACGATTCCTTACGGATCGCACAAATTCACGGATCCTTACGATTTGGCAACATTTACGGCCGATTTAAGAGTTGTTACGAGCTATTACGAGAATTCCACGCGTTGTCACGGATAACTACGAGCAACTTACAGGCATTTTACGAGCTTTTTTGTTACTATTCATCGAAGCTTTTACGTGTTAGTTACGACCTGTTTACGTGTTGTTATGAATCGTTACGAGTACTTACGAGTCCTTACGATTTTTTGCCAAAAAATATATGTAGATCCTGCAAATCTCAATGTATCATCATTCGACAACTGACATACAGAGAGACAGCATGGCATATGAGAGAAACGGATTGCAGTGATATCAACAATTTCTACAATTTCTCCTTCAACTAGCCCAGAATGAAGAGGAAGAGGCCCAGCAGCTACCAGATATTCCTCGACCGATATTGTAGAGTAGACTTCTATGACTTCTTAATACAACTGAAAATGAAGTGTTCGATTTTGCAGCTTTTATACTTTTCCCCAAATCGTAAACAATACGTAAGATTAAGTAAAGTATACGTATCTATTCGTAAAGTACTCGTAACAACACGTAAAGTGGTCGTAATAACTCGTAACAATCCGTAAAGCCATCGTAACACGACCCGAATAAAATCGTAAACAACACGTAAGCACTCGTAATAATCCTTAAACAAATCGTAAAAATAACTGTTACGAGTCATTTACGGATTCTTGCGAGCAGTTTACGGATGGTTACGTGTTGTTGCGAGCGGTTTACGATACTTACGGATTGTTACGAGTTATTTACGAAAGAATCAATCCGTGGACAATCGTAAGATGATTTTTGACATGTCAAAACAATTGCCTCTCTTTTCACGGATCCTGAAGAGTGTCCGCTAGTTGCTATGAGTTGTGACGAGTTATTTACGGATACCAGCGAGTTATTTACGGATGCTTGCGACTGGCTACGAGTTGGCGATCCGTAAGGACTCGTAAGAAAAACCCGTGTATGTGAAGGGGACATTAATAGAGTGTGGAATGTTATTAAAAAAATCAAAGGTAAAGGATCCACAAACAATGTAAATCATAAAATAGATGACGATATTCTGACATGCTGATAAACTGTCTGAAACAAAGAAATATATCCAAATTTCAAATCTGATAACGCAGAAGACTGTAACGAACCATTTTCTTTGAGCGAATTACAAGAGGCGCTTGACAAGGCTCATAATGTTATATAATAGCATCGATTACCAGGGCCTGCATCCTAGCTTTGTTATATATAGTTAATACTATTTGGAAAATGAGGAATTTCCCCCCTTCCTGGCATGAAGCAACTGTCCATTTTTCCTGTTGCAAACCAGGCAAGAGTCACACATATCCTACGGATTACTGGCCTATTGCTCTAACTAGCGGTGTCTGCATGACCACGGAAGACATGGTAATGGTCCACTTGCCTCGGTGAGAATATAAGCAGATACTGCCAGACAGTAGGGATCGTATTATTGTTTATTAGCTTTATACTTCCAAAGAACTATCATATGCAATGGTCAATGTTGTTCAATAACGTCAGTGCTTATGTTCTTTATATTCATATCATTCATGTAATTTAAACAATGTTTTATTTCTTAAATCAATTGGTGGCCAAGACAGTTCTTCAAAAGGGAAATCAAGTATTTTGAAAACATGTATACAATTGAAAATGCAGAGGGCTTGGCATGACCAGCCGGTAGGGTCGAGGTGGGCTCATCCTACCACCCATCTAGGTGAAGTAAGGGTCGAAGTGGGCCCACCCTACTACCCATCTAGGTGAAGTAAGGGTCGAAGTGGGCCCATCCTACCATCCATCTTGGTGAAGTAAGGGTCAAAGTGAGCCCACCCTACTACCCATCTTGGTGAAGTAAGGGTCGAAGTGGGACCATCCTAAGACCCATCTTGGTGAAGTAAGGGTCGAGGTGGGCCCATCCTACCATCCATCTTGGTGAAGTAAGGGTCGAGGTGGGCCCACGCTACCACCCATCTTGGTGAAGTAAGGATCGAGGTGGGCCCACGCTATACCACCCATCTTGGTGAAGTAAGGGTCGAGGTGGGCCCACGCTATACCACCCATCTTGGTGAAGTAAGGATCGAGGTGGGCCCACGCTATACCACCCATCTTTGTGAAGTAAGGGTCGAGGTGGGCCCACGCTATACCACCCATCTTGGTGAAGTAAAGGTCGAGGTGGGCCCACGCTACCATCCATCTTGGTGAAGTAAAGGTCGAGGTGGGCCCACGCTACCACCCATCTCGGTGAAGTAAAGGTCGAGGTGGGCCCACGCTATACCACCCATCTTGGTGAAGTAAAAGTCGAGGTGGGCCCACGCTACCATCATCTTGGTGAAGTAAGGGTCGAGGTGGGCCCACGCTACCACCCATCTTGGTAAAGTAAAGGTCGAGGTGGGCCCACGCTACCACCCATCTTGGTGAAGTAAAGGTCGAGGTGGGCCCACGCTACCACCCATCTTGGTG